TGGAGGATTACAAAGACCTTTTGGATTTTTAAATTATAATTATTAATGTTTTCTCCATTGGACACTGAAACTGAGGATTTCATTTCTTTAATGCTTATTAAACATTTGAAGAGAGTGCCAGTGAACACTCTGTGTATTAAAAATGTCTTAGTATTATTGACTCACCCTGGCCGTGCAGACCCCCGAGACCTACCTCAAGCAGCATCAGCTTATTCCAGAACAGGACGGCACTGGTGAAGGACCAGCTGGGACAGTGGCTTTCAATTTCTGAATTCAGGACCTCTTTTGACTTGCCCTACTTGGCTCTGTGTGGTTATTTGCATAGACTCAGTAGGAATCTGGTCTCCTCTTTACTAGGATATAATCAGGAAAAAATGGCTACACAACCAAGGTCTTGCTTGGAATGTCAAATGTGGTAATGATACATACTTGAAAACGATGATCAGATATGGCCATGTTTTTTTGTTTAAGACTTTATTGAGATATAATCTCTATAATTCCCTATTTAAAGTATAAACACAATGTTTTTTCTGAGTCATGCAGCCATTTCCACAATTGATCTGGGAATATGTGCCCCCCAATATTTACCCTATTTAGCCTGCATCTACCCAACCTCCCTATTCCCGCAGCTCCAAACAGCCACTCACCTACTTTGTCTCTGTGGATCTGCCTATCCTGAACATTTCATAGAAATGGTCTTCTGGGTTGACTTCTTTCACTTAGCATGTTTTCAAGGCTAATTCATGTCACAAAAGGTGTCAGCACTTCATTCCTTTTTCGTTGATAAATAATATTCTGCATTTTGTTTATCCATTCACTGTTATGGACATTTGGGCTGTTTCCATGTTTGCTGTCATGGGTAATGCTGTAGACACCAGCGTGCAGCACCAGTGTGCAGGTTTCCCTGATGTTTTCAGGTCCCTTGGGTACATACCTAGGGGTGGATTTACTGGGTTCTATGATTCACCTGTGAAGAAACTGCTTGTCTGTTTTTTAAAGTGGCTGCACTCTTCTCTAAGAAGCCCAATTCTGTTCCTAGATCATTTTGATGCTGAAGGTTCCAAGCTCACAAGAACATGTCAGCATGGTGCTGACCTCATGACCCTTGGGAAGCTGACAGAGCTGTGAAGGATGCAGAAGTGAGTCCTTCAATGAGAGTCACTAACAGAAAACCAACATGCGCCAGATAGGCAGGACATCACCAGCTGTTAACAGGGAGTTGTGATGTACAAGAGCCTGGACTGGTGAGCTTCCTCAAGGCTTTGCGGCATGATTCATCCATTCCCTGCTCAGCTTCCCAGACCAGCTCGTCATTTCAGGGCTCCATCCATCCTCCTTCCATTTCTGAAATGTGCCCATGGCTCCCAGTGCTTCTCACTGCATGGAGGGTCCATGAACTGCTCCTGAGAAAGTCGGCCTTGCAGGTTGAGGCCTGGGTCCCAGCGCCACTCAGGACCTAGTTCCTGCCTTCCAGGTAGGCAGTGGAAAGAACACTGCTGAGAGGCCTGCTCCTGCCATGCACTGAAACACGACTTTGGACCTACAGCTGTGGCTGTTGGGCCCTGGTGGATTGGACTAGGGACTGAGGATGGAAACCCTAGGCATTCCTGCCACCACACCTTCCCATACCCAAATGCAGATAGAGCTAATCAGTTACCGTGTTCTTTCCCACTGAGCCAGGCTTGTGCCTCAGAATCCTTCTTAACACCAAGCTCCATGCAACTACTCCTGATACGTCAGTAGGTCTGCAAGAGGAGCTCTGGCCACCATTTTTGCAGTCATTGGTTTCAGGGGTGACCCTCAGCTCCAAAGGCCCTTTGTTCTCTGCACAGACCAGAAGATACTGAAAGATTCTTTGACCTGTATGTTCCAGTTCTGTGATTTTTGTTTCCTGAATTTCCCTAGACTTCCTACACCTTAGTGCAGAACTTGAGGCTGTGTTTACATGGTGGAAGATACACAGGCAGGAGGAAAATCCCTATAGTCTTTGGAGAGGTTGTCTTGGTATCCAGACCTCAGCTGCAGGAACCAGTCTCTATTGCTTCCTGGTCAGTCCTATTGATCTGTGCTGTATGAGTGGCAGCCACCCTCACCACTGGAACTGTGCCCTGGGTATGGGGATGACAACACAAAGTGGTACAGAAACTCAAGCTTCTCCAGGCAGGGTGGTGGCCACTCAGAGTCAATTTTGAACCTGCAAAATTGGGACACTTTTCTAGACCTGCCACTCAAAACACCACTTGAATCCAGTGCTGTTCATACTCCATCAAGGTTACACAATTAACAATGTGATATAGTTTTAAAGTTGTTTGTAATGCCCTTGTGGCACAGGGGCTCTCTGTGAAAGACTGGGCCCCACAACTCATGGGAAATGAGCTGACCACTGACCAATTCTGGTTTCAGCTTCTGCACTGCATAGCTCCTTCAATGACCTTCAGTATTAAACAGAGGCAGTGTCGCTATGGCTGACCTGGGACCTGCCTGGGGAGTAAAGGTGGTAAGTTAATGGCAGATTCTTGGCCAGAAGGAGAAGTGTTTGTTGTCCTTATCTTACAGAAAACATCTGAATCAAAACAGACTATCAATCTTTTAGATGTATTTCTACTCAGTCAAATACAAGACTAGTTATAAAAGGGAGGATTCTTGGAAAGGTAAAAAGGCATTAAATAAATTCAAAGAACAGGTTTTCGATTTCTGAAGTCACATTTATTTAACTTCTAAGGGAATTTCAAAAATAAGGCACCAGATGCCATGAGGATAGTTTGATTCCACAGACGTTCACTGAGCACCTTCTGGAAGCAGGGAGCGGTGGCCCGTGGGAGTGAGTGTTCCCACACTTGGAAGCCCAGATCTCCAAGGTCAAAGCTCCCAAACACTTTGGTTTATTGACACTATTCTGAAGACCTGGGAGGCAAGTGAGGCAGATGGATTGCTGACTCCCAGGGATGGAGCAACATCTCAGCAGGTCTTACCTGCTCAGCCTTCTTTCCAGAGCAATAACACAGAGGTCTGAAGCAAGACAGATCCTTTGAGAGGCTCTGAGGGCAGATGTGTTCAAAGGCATGAGAAGGAATGATTCCTGGAAGAGGCAGCATTTGAGACAGGCCTGGAGAGAGATCAAGAAGGTTTTCAGTTGTGGGGAGACCACAGTGACCCCCTAGGCAGCATCCAGAAGGGTGATTCTGAATGAAAAGCAGGAAAGGAGGCAAGTAGGAGCAAGGTTCCAGGAGTTAAGTCAAGAGAGGAGGTCTGGGCTGGAGGGCCTGGTAAGGGGCCTCTGTGTGTGGAGGGGCAGAAGAGAGAGGCCTCCCTGAGAACAGAGCTGGAGGAATGCAGGAAGTCAGCTCTCTACCAGAAACCACCAAACACCACAACCACTTGACCCTAGTGTTCATCATTCCTAAAAGCCTAGTGTGTAGGAGTGATTGAGAGGCTAGGGAGGCTGCCTGACTGGAGACCACACACCCAAGGCCAGTGCCAGCCATGGGCCCCAAAGCTCCCGCCTACAAACCATGGCACCTGTTAGGAGGCTCAACCCAAGGGCAGGAGAAGGCTGAGGGGTGCATGAACACAGGAGCCTGTGGGTCTCAGAACATTGTGCCTCCAAGTGCCAGGGTCAGGCACAGCAGAGACATGACAAATCCAGTCTCCTGAGGAAACTTCTAAACTACAGGAGTAGCTTATAATTTTAAATGCTTTAGAGCATCACCTATCATATCAAGGTAATATGCCTGTAAGAGGCTTAGTTGAGTTGACCACTGCATAGTCCAGCCATAAATGGCTATTGAAATTGAAATTCACTAAAATAATGCTAGAAATCCTGTTCACAGTGGCACCAGGCACACGGAGGTTAGTAGCTACTGCATTAGCTGGCACAGAATAGAACATTTCCATCACCTCAGAAAGTTCCACTGGACAACTTGGGTTTATAGCAAGAGTTAACTATATCCCAACCCATGGGCCATATCTAGCCACACCAGGTTTTGGTAAATAACTTTCTCTGAACTACAGCCACACCCAGACACTCCTGTAAGTGTGAGTCTCCTTTTGTGCCCTAGTAGTAAAGATGAGCCATTTACACCAGCCACTGGACTGTGACCCTGGTGCAGACTGCCAGCAAGTTGCAGGAGGGTCATTTCAGTAAAGATACTAACTGGCATCCCCAGGAGCCTTAAGTGGGTTTTAAGCACATATCTCCTGGGAGAAGGCAGGGAAGGTACAGCTGTTGCAATCAGAGAACACAGAATGCCTCAAGCAGGCACATCCTCTAGGGTGACCAACCTCAGAGAGAAGTAATGGGGGTAGTGTTGAGTGGCTGCAAGTCTACCCAGGAAAACCACACCGGAGGGTCTTACCATTTGCTTTATTGTTTTTTTTTTTTCAGTCTTTCCAGTCAATGAGGGAGCAACACGAATAAAAAGTGAGACACAACTGTATCCTTGCAATATTAATCCAATATCCCCTCCGAAACCAATGCTCTACAAATAATCCTAAGGTTTTTTTCATCAAATGTAGCAGCCTAATTTGGAAGATCTGGCTTTCCACACATCAAAAATGACTCCCATCCTGGTAGCAACCAGCTGGAAAGTGCACATGTCCACCACAGAGGGGTCCTACCTTGAGCAGGTTGGCCTCCTGCTGGCTCTTTTCAAGTCCTATCTGGCCACAAAGGAGACCCAGGCTAACTTGTCTGGTCCTTAGGAAGGCTGGTACCTCTGACTCTCCCCACTCCCAGATTTCCCAGGGCTACTGGACCAGCAGGAAGTTTGAGGGGTTCTCAGTTTGCAAGAGGCCAATAAACACTCTGAATTATCTTTGTTTCTCTCCCCTTCTATGAAGGCAACCTTTGTTGAAAAAGAAAACTAAGCTGACTCACGGGCCCCACTGATGCTCACTTAGTAATACTTCTTTTGTCAACACAATGCAGAATTTATTTGTAGCAGCTTGGAATGTCCCAGGGCCAGAAAAAAGAGATTCTCTTAGGATGCCCGAGAGCCCCAGAAGTGCTGCAATGTCAGCTGTGCCACTTGCAAATGCATAGGAAATGCTTGATGTCACTCGAATAGGGAGAGACCCGATTTCCCTTCCTGGGTAGCCTGGAGGCCCTGACTGGGTGAGTTTGCCTCTCTCAGACTCCCAGGTTGACTTGCTCAATGATCATACTACCACCAGCCTTTCTTTGCTGCTCTGCCCAAGGAATTTGGATGAATGGGAACAAAGAAAAAGACCCTAAGCCTCCAGCTCTCCTCTTTGGGACCAGCCTAGCAATGCACACACGCTCCCGAGCGTTTCTTGAATTACAGACAAAACAGTGAGCAAGTCCACTACACAGCTACTACTGGGGTGGGTTTCGCTTCATCTCAAGTGTCCGGGAGAGTCACGCACGCTGTCGTCTCTTCCGTTCCCGCAGCTTCAGCCGCCTGGCGGGCAGACTGACAGGCTGCTTCCCAAACTTCGCCATGATCTCTCTGATCCTTGCCAGGTTGGTCTTGCTGAGAATGAAGTCACATCGTGTGGCCCCCATGTCATAGCCGACCATGCAGTTCTTGGTAGAGACAGTATAGCCTTCCGCCTTGGCCGTGACCACATATTCTCCAGGGTTCAGTAGGCGCCAGTAATCCCCATCGCTGGCTGTGAAAAGAAACCAGGGGACCTCAAAACAGTTCCTTCTAACACAAATACCACCAGTCCCATTCCAAGACTAACCCAGGCAGAAAGAGCTCTGAGCAGGCGCCGGGAAACCTGAGCTCCTGCAGAGGCACTTGGGAGCTCATGATGGAAGCTGCCTTAATGGTTTTAACGGGAAGGGGTTTGGAGCATAGGCTCCACTCAGTGTTCACACACATGAGCAGAGATGAAGAAGTGATCACACTCTTTCCCTTGTGACAATACAAGCCATTCACTATGAACTTGCAAACAGTATGCCCTCACTACAAAATGCCATCTTAAAAAGCCATCAGTGCACAGTTTCCTGGCTTACCTTGGCATGGCTACAAATACAGAAAATAATTTCTAACAGGGTGGGGTTCTCCACTTCTGAAAAGAGCAAGGCAGGACTACCTGGAAGGAGGCCCTGATGCCAGCACACCACTCCACAGCCTCCACCCTGAGGTCGGGGCCCAGAGAGATTAGGAGCTACAGGAGTGGTCACTCTTGGATGCAGGAAGGCAGAGAGGTCTTGAGACCCATAAGCTGAAGCCACATCTGAGCAAGGGTCCCTGCCTCCCCAGTTATCCACTGGTCACTCACCCACCAGGTAAGTGGGATACATTAGGGTCCGTTCTTAGCTTCTAGTGGATCAGCACAGCATTTAGTGGGCAGTGGATTCTTGGCCTTAACAATCCCCTCTGAGCACCTCTGTGGTTGAGACACCGTATCCACTCTTTTCACGCTGGTGTAACCTCTGGTTTCCTATCCGCACATTTCTCTTCATCCCATTCAACTGAACCAGCAGCATTCCATGCAATGAGCACTACTCGGTAGTCAGTTGAGTATGGATTACACAAAGCACACTGTGTAATCCATGTATGTAATACGCACAGCCTCTGAGGACTCCATAGCTTAATGCAGGGGATAAGACAGGACAGGGGCCATTCACACTCTCGAAGACATGAAGATGCCATCTGGCAGGAAGAAGGAAAGGTGAAGGGAGTAGGACCTGTGAAGGAGGTGACCAGCTCAGGTTAGCCCATGGGGCAATGGGAGCTAGAGATGCCCTGAAAGGGATGCATATGAGGCTCGAGCTGCCTGTCTTCATGTCCAGGACCCACACAATGCACCTCTCACCTGCTGAAAAGACATGGAGGGCATTTGATTTTGTAGAAAACCTCACATTTTCACTAAAGGAAGATAAAAGGCAAGTGCTGAGGATCACGAGGGTGCCACCTGTGTGTGTGTGAATGTGTGTGAGTGTGCATTTGTACCCAGGCTTCTCATGTGCAGTGATCATTTAGCAGACTACAGCACACTACTGTCTCCACATTTCACTTTTTATAATGTGCTCCCAAGAGCTTACTGCATTGCATGGGTTGTCTCTGATGAAAGACTGTAACATGAACTCACACTTGATGCTTCACAGTGCTATATGTGGGAGACATATTTACACACACACACACACACACACACACACACACATACAGAGTTTTCTTCCATCCCTTAGAAGATTCTAGGACTTGTGTAGAAAGCAAACCTTGCCCAGGGTCTACTTAGTATTTGATGGAATCTAGTTTTTTCTCTTAAAGCTTTAGACTGGGTGGGACATTTGGACTATCCCAAGAGAGAGCCCAGTTAGTTAGTTGCAGAGTGACCTTGTGCAGGATGACACACGTCTGTGGGCTTCAAAGACCTTATACAGAAAAGGAAACCACCAACCACAGCTTACATCATGAGTTGCTTGGAGGGTTCCATGACTTATAAGCCCTATCGTTCCATGTGCTATGTTCTTATGAGGGTCTCTGGTGTCTCCTGTCTCCTGGCCTCTAAAATGCTATGGGTTTATGTGTTCTTACTGGGATGGAGGCTCCCTGGGAGGAGTGACCTTGGCCTAGATCTTACCTTTATACAACGGGGAGAAACAGACAAACAGATGGAGAATGGGAGTAGGTGTTCTCTGAATGAGGATTCCTCCATTCAGGTAAGGGCTAAGTTCTCAGAGCAAAACCCCAACTCAGGCCCCGCTGGCCCCTCCCACAGCCTCTGCCCACAGCCCACCACCTCCAGCCACACAGAGCTTCTCAGCTTCTTCTTGTTCCTTGATTGTTTGGGGGGGAGGGGAGGACACTGGGGCTTAAACTCAAGGCCTCATGCTTGCTAGGCAAGCACTCTACCACTTGAGCAATGCCCCCAGCCCTTTTGTTTTTTACTTTGTATTTATTTATGTTTGAGATAAAGTCTTATTACTTTCCCTGGATGGTCTTGAACTTTGGATCCTCCTGTTTTCTGCCTACTTAATAGCTGGGATTACAGCCACAAACCACCACATCTGGCTTTCTTGACTCTTGACTGAATCTTTGCAATTACTGTTCCCTGCACTGGAATGCTAAACCCCGCTCTTCTAAGAGCCAGCTTTCCCTCATCCTCTTAGCAAGGGACCTTTCCTTGGCTTTCCCGCCATTTCCGTATTTCTTTCTTTCCTGACACTGACTGTAGTCTTCAATGAACTTTTTATCTTCCCTTGCAATTACTGATAGGTCTCCTCCATGAGAATCTATACTCAGTGGATAGGGGCCAGCCTTGCTTTCTTGGCTGCAGTATTTTTCATCTGGCACATAGTATGTGCCCGATAAGAAAAGTTAAATGGATGCTTGAAATGATCGCAAATGCGTTTAGGGTCACAGGGTCAGAACTAGGTCTGTTACCTCTATAATCTGAAAGCTTCAACTTCTGAAACATGGTTCTGTCTGGATCTCTCCTCTGCCTGGCCAAGCATGCTCTCCCCAGAAGTCCTCTGCTGAGGTTTCCGTGTTATCCCTGATGACTGTTAAGCCTAGATTCAAGCACTTGACATGCAAGTGGACCATGTTGGGTTCTGTCCCACTGAGCACTCAGGTTGGTGGTGGGGGGGGTGCATTCTATGGTGCCACTGTGGAAGGTCAACACCATGGGTACTGCTTGGCATCTATGGACAGAGGGGTGACCGAGGCCCAATGAATGTCCATTCGTTAGCAGGTCAGCTTAGTATACACCAGACAGAGGACGGCTGTGTGGAAATCTAAGCCACATGTTTGGCCAATGGTTATGTGCATCTTAGAAGCATCTTATAGCATCCCCTCTGCCCCCATGGGATTCCATTTAACATTTCTGTTTATTCTATGCAAAATCCCTCCTGAAATGGCACTTGTCAGATCCTGTAAGCCTCAGACAGAAATCAAGGCAAATTCAGCACTTTTGTCGAGCATGGAAAGACATTGAAACCAATAAAACAAATAAAATAAAGAGCCATGTGTAAAGTAAGGGATGCATTTGCCAGGAGAGCACACTGGGACATTATTTATGGGGAGGGGAGTGTAAAGGGAGAGATGCATTTCCCATGAGCTCATCCAAGCTGTCACTTTGATTACAGGGGCTTGAAATTCAGAGTCCATCAGGCAAGGCATTCTCATCTGGGTTTATGGGGCCCCAGGGCCTTTTTACCTCCCACTCAGGTTTTTAGAACCCTCATGTTTTCTCACACTGCCTACCAGGCACTAAATAGTCCAAGAAACAGTGCAGGCTCTTTTATAAATTACTCTTTTAGAGGAGTTCCTAAGCAGTATTTAAAATACAAATCCTGTGTAAAAGCAGTCTAACAGCCTTTCTTTCTCTTACAATGATTGCTAGCATCCTGCGTGACCTCTGGCACACCATGGTACTCAGTGTACGTTTGTTGAGTTATTGAATTAGTAAATTAATGAATAAATGGATGGCTATGGAGGATACTGTGTACAAAACTACACCCTATATAGAGTAAAACTTCACAGTCAATGACTGTAAGATCCAGGACAAATGGTAGGGAAGTGAAGAAAGTACTGAGTGAAGAAGTCAGTAAGTAAACAGAAAGAATGTGACATGGCATTGTCCAATAGTCTACTGTTTGTAGCACGTCAGATCCACTCATCCATTTAGATATGTTAGGCAGCATGGCACTGAACACCTGGGCCAGGTTGAATCCCAGTCTCACCTCCTCTGGTGTCCCAGAGTCTTCGTTTCCTGACAGGTCAAGTGAGATAATTTGTTGGGAGACAGGATCTGTTAATACATGTGAACAGTTTATAGAGAAGGGGCCCCTTGTCCCCCATAAGAAGAACCAGCATGGGGACAAAGGAAGAAGCTCTGGATTTGGAGCCTCAGACCCTTGCCTCCACTCACAGCTCTGCCATTCTCCACAACGCTGGAAATATCATGCAATGTCCATTCATTCATTCATTCATTCATTCAACAAATGTTCACTGAGTACCCAACTCATAAGCGTAGTGAATATGCTTGTGATACATCAAAGAACAAAGGTACACTGTATGCTTGAATGGTGTTATCAGAATGGAAATCCCTCATCACTAGTGTATGATAATTCAAAAGTAAAACTAAAAGATGAAAAAAAAATAACAGTGGAGGATTCCTGCCCTTGTAGTGGCAGGTAGTGGGGACAGAAACAACTAAGAAGTACAATAAATATTAGCCTGTTTGGTGACATGTTAGAAGGGAGAAGGGCTACAGACAACGTTGGGGGTAGGTAAGAGACCAAGAGGATGGTTGGGCAGGCAGGCAGTATTAAACAGGGATGGCTGCTTTGAGACAGTGACATCTGAAAAAAGGCCAGAAGGGGACAAGAAAGGAGCCAAGGGACACCCACCACCCAGGGGCAGAATGTCCAGGAAGAAGGAGCTGCCGTGACAACCCCAATGTGTCGCTGTCAGTCCACAAAGAAGAGCAGGGAGCTTGAGGAAGGGAACAACCACTGCTATTGTTCTGGAACTAGGGGACACAGGATTTTTAGGTTTAAACTGAGGTATGCCAGGTGATAACAGTCCTGGGGCACAAAAGGAAACCCTGGACTTGCTGGAGCACCTTCATTTCCCTATGAGCAAGGCAGCTCTTTGTGGGAAAGGACACTGCAGATCACTTTGGGGTGATTTCCCAGCCCAAGTGAGAGCTGGAGGTCTGAACACAAACCCTACCACCTCCTGAACCTTCCAGAGATCAATTAGTCTCCCCAAGCTTCTGCTTTTCCTTAGACAAGGGGAAAGAATGACTAGTCTCCCTCAAAGAGCCAATGTGAAAAAGATCTGAGTGAGAATGTATATGGAAGCACCGAGCTTCTGCTATGGGTGAGTCACCCAAGGGGCTACAGGACAGACCTTTGCTGTCCTGAGGTTGTGTGGCCATTCAACAAATGCACTTAAAAATATGGTACTTTAGGAACTGGAAGACGAGTTGCCTCATGTGACTCTGGATCTTACAATTTCTTTTCTTCCTTAGTAAAGAGAGTTGGAATAAGATTTCAGCACTGCCTTTTAGAGGTCATCTTCTGACCCTCATGTTATCTATGATTCTAGAATTTCCTACCTTCCACTCAAATGGAAATCGTGTGTCAAGTCAAGATTTAGCATCCAAGCCACTTGTCCCTTACGTAGGTGGGAACCAGGTCTCCCTGATACATCTCTTCATGTTCCTCACTTCCTCATTTAGTGACAATGTAGAGAAAATGGGGTTGTTATGATGAATAACTGAGTCAATATGTGTTTAGCCATTAAAAGAGTGTCTGGCACATAGGAGATGCCAAAAACCATGTTGGCTATTGTCACCATCACTATTGTCCTCTTCTTTACATTGCAGACACTTAAGCTTTCCTAAAAACATATTTTAGGAAGTGACTGCCTGTGGCTTAACAGAAAAATTGCAAACTCTCTGGACTAGCACTCAAAACGCAGCCCCACCCCCAACTCCAGCCTCCCCCAGCTGCTGCCTCCTTCGGACTCTGCACTCCAACCCTGCCTCTGAGCTCCTCCGTGAGGTGGAACAGCTTCTCCTGCAGGGATGGCCTGCCTGACTCCCTCTCAGGCCCCCATCATGCCTGGTGTGGAGCTAAGCTGCATGCATAGGTAACAACACTGCAGAGCTGTATCCTCAATTTCTCAGAAACCCCCACTGCAGCTGTCTGCTTCAAGCCACCCCAGGGAAGGGACAGAGAGGAGACAAGATAGGTTAAAAACCTCACTGTCAGGGGTCTCTCGGAAAGTTGGAGGAAGGAGACATGAATTCAGCTCTGAGTAAGATGTTTTTGGCCTCTGACTTGTGATTGTAGCCCAAGTAAACACACTTCAAGAAACTGGCTATTTCTTACCAAGAGACAGTTTCTACACATTCAGTTACCTGTTCGAATGTCATGGTTAACACCTTCCACGGAGATAATAACATTCGGAATTCCTTTTCCATGTAAATCTGTCACCACACCTTTGATTCCTCGGTGGACCTGCTCAGCATACATGAGACACAGCGAGTCACTGACAAGCTCTGGATTCCACCAGCACAAGGAAGTGGCTATTGACAGCCCAGTCCCCACCAGGAGTGCTCACAGCCCCACAGCCCACTCAGAAGGTTTCCTGGCTCTGCATGGATTTGGTGTGTAATAGTCTCCATTCCTTTTAGGACCCATGCACCAGAAAGTTTTCCAATGGAATTAAAATATTCAGGAGTTTAAAAATATTAGGATCTGAGGTTTTCATTAAAAGCACAGCCACTGAAAACTAGAATTTAATTTTTATTAGACACATTTATTTGGGTTCTTATGTATTTAGTGTCTTAAGAGTCAGAGGAAAGAAAAGAATCAGAGGCCTTCCTACAAATGACAACTCCAGGTAGGATCCTTCCCTTGACACGTGACACACGCCAACCTTGAACCTCATGCCTCAGTCTCCCCACCTGCAGAATTCTGTGACAATCCAAGGTGACATACTGTCATTTCCAATGGCACTCCTCATACAGTGGCACTACTGCAGAATGAGCAGGTGGCTACCATCAAGGCCTTCTCTCTTCTTACTTAGGCAAAGGAAAAGGAGCCTTCCCTCATGAGACCCCAGGGTGGGGTCAGGATGTATTCTCGCAGCTTCCCAAAAGGGAAGAACCAGCTCACAGCCTTCTGTGCCACAGAAGACCCCTGGGGCTGCACTGCAGCTCCTGGGACTCTCATGGGGCAGGCTCAGACACTGAATCAGGTGCCACCCCTTGCCACCTGTGCAGAGATGCAGCCATAGAACCAGGAAGCTGACAACTAAGCCTGCATGCAACTTCTGATTCACCCACAACTACCCAAGAAAGCAAAGCAACCTCCACATATCCTTGGGAGCATCCTTCCTTGGGGTGGGGGATGGTGGAGGTGAGACTCGGGGGGCCTAGAGTTGTATAACTATACAAATGGCTGGTGCTGAGACCCAGCATTGGGGTTTGCTCACTCCTGATCTGATCCTCTGACTTTCAGCTAGTCTCTGTTCCTTAGTGGGGTCTGGATATTGCTCAGTTAGTTTTAACGTGAACTAGAACTGGTTAATTCATTAATGCTACAAGATGGCATGCCCTTGAGAACACAGGCAGGGAAGGTGTCTGAGGTTCCCAGTGAGGACCCGGGCTATGAGGGCTGTATTGAGTCCCCCAAATTCATGTCTTGAAGTCTTAACACCAGTACCTCAGAACATGACTGTATTTGGAGACAGAGCCTTAAAAGGGGTGACTAAGTGAAATTAGGGTGGGTCCTAATCCGCTATTACCCATGTGCCTGTAAGAAGAATGGGGACACACACAGGAACACATGCCCAGGGGGATGACCATGTTAAGAGGCAGCAAGAGGATGGCCAGCTATAATTGACAGAGAAAGTCCCCAGAGAAAATCAGTCCCTTGACCTTAGGTTTCCAATCTCCAGAAGTGTGAGAGAATAAGGGTGTCCTGTTCAAGTGTCCATTCTGTAGCGTTCTCCTACGGTAAATGCAGACTAAGACAAGGGCCTGCACATGTTGGCTCCGATATCACCAGTCACCACAGAGCAGCCCTTGAAAGCCCCCCGCTCTGCCGCACTTGCCCTAAGCCAGTGGGAGCCATTGGTCAGAGTTCCCACCTGTGGGTCTGACTGAGTATAAACAGACAGCAGTTCCCTGCAGCAAGGGGGTGGCCCAGGACGATGGCTAAAGCCTAAAGCACTGGCTGGTTCCCGTGATTTTGGCAACATCCAAGGCAGGGTCCTTAGCTAGTCCCTCTGGCCACAGCCACCCACCACCATACCTGTTCCATGAACACAATCAAAGATTCCCGGTTATTCTCCCATTCCTCAGGCAGCTCGCTCTCATGTGGGTATTTATCACAGCCCACATAGATGGACAGCTCGAAGCAGTTTGTGTGGAGGTAGCTGAAATCATTTAGACCTGCAAAGTCAACAGGACATTTTTATGTATGTACATATGTATTTATTTTTGGTAGGACTGAGGTTTGGATTCAGGGCTCTGTGCTTGCAAACCAGGTGCTCTACCAGCTTACCGCGCAACTCCAGTCCATTTTGTTCTGGTTATTTTAGAGATGGGGTCTTGGGAACTATTTGCCCAGGTTGGCCATGATCCTCCTGATCTCAGCCTCCCAAGTAGCTAGGATTACAGGCATGAGCCACCAGTGCCCAGCTCCAAAAGGACATTTTGAATGGCATAGGGAAGGCAGCAAGAATGTTCAAGAATGCTCAGAAGATTTCAATTAAACAGGGAGGCATCAGGAATCTATGAGTCCTAGATAATACACTACCGATTTAATACTACTAATACGGGAATGTACTACCAGAGACAAACACTTGCAGGACAGAAAACGTGCTTGGGTTGGGGATCGGTGGGAGAGGATACAGCAGGAGTGGCTGAGGTGAGGACAAATCCTCACAGAGCATCTTTGACAAAAGACAGGCTTTTTAGATATTTGTTTTAGCAAATGTATTTAACACACCATGTTTGGAATGAAGCTAACATTAATCACAACCATGGACTTTTAAGTGTTTAAGTTGATCTCTAGAATTATGCTGATCTCAGCAACAGATCGATAGCAATTTCCTCTTCTAATTCATAAAAACAGCCAACCATGTCACCATTTCCTGAGTGTCTTCCATAAGCCAGGACCTGTCCAAAGCATTGTGCCTCCCACAGGTCACTGTGTCTTCCTGGCCAAGCCCTGCAGAGGTAGGCAACATAGCACAGGTTTACAAATAAGAAAATCGAGACTGTGAATGGTAAGAATCTCATCCAGGAGCATGTGTCTGGAAAGGACCAGGGTCAGGATTTGAGGCCTTGCTCTTATCTCCAAATAGAGCATTTCTGCGTAGGGGCTGTCAGGTAGTCACGCCTACCACATGCACCCTAAAGCAGACAGACCTTCTACACCCTGACATGACAGGGTGCAGAGCAGCCAGGCTAGGACAAGGTTGGTCCCTACATAGGTTTCCTGGAGCTGGTATTACAAATGACCACAATTTGACTTCAGTCATCCTTTCACCATACTTCTAGAGGTCAGAAGTCCATAATCAGGGGTTGTGCTTCCGTCAAAGCCTCGGGGAGCACCCTCCCTGCCCCTTCCACTCCCAGAATTCCTTGGCTTTTGGCAGCATCACCTAGAATCTGCCCCATCTTCACAGTCTTCTCCTCTGTCTGTACTCCTCCCTTCTGGCCTTTATAAGGACACTTCCACTGATCTCAGGGCCCATCGGTAATGTGGAATGACCCTATCTGGAGGCCCTTCTCAACACTTCTGTTTCTGAACAGGATGACTAGCAAGCTGTGCTCTGCCTGAGCATGGAAAGCACTCCCCAGGTCTTCTGCCAAGGACCTTCCGGGGGCCCCGAGGGTCAGTCACAGAAGGCAGAAGCTAGGTGCATGGGGCTCTGTATAGACAGAAGCAAAGCATGTTTTCTAAGGCTTTACCAGTAGAGTCTTCAGACATCCTTTCTCCCTTCCTATTGTCCAGCAAGGCTCAATTGAAATGTGTCTGCTTTAAAATCAGCCTCTGGGATGTCAAAAGCAACTCTGTATCAATCCACTGCCTAATCACTAAGGCCAGAGGCAAGTGGTACCAAACTCTCCACTGGATTCCAGACAACAGCAGCTCACATTTCACCAGTGACGGGCTTTTGACACCACTTGTGTTAAAGCAAGGAAGAGTAAGAGCAGTGGAATCACGGGGGTGGGATGGGCTCAAGTTCATGAAAAACTCTTCCTGTGTGCCTGGTCCAGCTGAAGAAGGCCAGTCCAATGCTGGGTTGATTTATCAGTTTATCACTGTATGGAACTGCAGAGGGCAGCTGGGTTGATTTATCAGTTTATCACTGTATGGAACTGCAGAGGGCAGAATGGGCTGGCAACCAACAGGTCCACAGGCTAGCACTGGTCTTGGCCCCTGGGAAGGCCATGCTCCTCTTTGCACATGAAACCCTCTTAGGCTTTGTGGGTACTGAAATAAATGTTAGAAATATTCTGGAGCGGGCCTGCCTTTTTGCAAAAAATACATCTTTGAAGCACGGAAGCCCGGGAGGCACTGGAGAATGAGAACCCAGGATGCTAGGGCAGAGCGGGCCACTTGGCTGCTGAGGCCCTGCCCTTCCAGGGAGGAGTTGCTTAGCACACTGACCTGAGGAAGGCTTCAACAGCACAATGCTGCTTCCTGTCTGGGGCACATAGGACAAGGAACTGGGACATGGCCTGGCAGTTCTTAGAAGCTTTCAAATCTGCCTGGGACGTAAGACATCTTTGGTGTTCTGAAGGACTGGAATCCATTTCTTGTCTCCACCTTCAACAGGGAACACGGGGCTGTGTACACCTTATGGCTCTGCAGGCTGAGTGTCCCACCCTACCTACCTTCCTGTGGAGGACAGTGCAGGACTACTGCCGAGAACAGACCTGACATCACTTTGGCGATAAAAAGCTCACACTACCGACGCTGTGCATTTTGAAGTGCACTGAGCCTTGCTCTCAACTGCTTCCCTCCCTGTTCACTGCTGCCTGCAGCACACTGCTAATGAGAGAGAACGAGCAGGACAAAGAGACGGGGGGGAGGGAAGGAAATGGAAAATCACATTTCATCCATCTACAAAGAAATGATCTGCAGACTCCATCATACTGCCTAAACGAAGAATGACAAAAAGGCACAAGTCACCACATGGCTCTGCCACAGAGTCTTTGAAATAATGGAAAGCTTAATTGATAGAGAAAAGTATCAAATGCTGCCTATGAGATTATGCGGCAGCTGACTTTTCGTAATGTTACTATTGACTGGATCCTGGCAAACCCAGCTGTGTCTGCACCCTACCTAGTCACAGCAGCCATCAACAATAAACAGATTTTACTTAAAGACTTTTGTAGGTAGGTTTTTAGGGCTAAAAAACTGAAGGTTAAAAATACTTTTTTCCTGTAGGGCAAAGTCAAAGGGAGATGGACCACCTGGTCTGTCACCAAGAAAAAATGGCCAGCTTTCTATACATGTATTGTTTTACTTATTGTGTATCTACTTATTTGTTTAATTGTTTATTTATTTTTGAGAGTACTGGGAATTGAGCTCAGTACCTTACATTTGCTAGACAAGTGCTTTATCCCTTGAACTATGTCCCCAAGTCCTTTTGCTTTTTTAGTTTGCTTTTCAAATACGGTCTTGCACTTTTGCCTGAGTCAGCTTCAGACCACGACCTTCCAATCTCTGCCTCCCAACTAGCTGAGACCACAGGTATGCACCACTACACTCAGCTTGTTTTTGAAATAGGGTCTTACTAACTTTTTGCTCTGACTGTCCTCAAACCAAGATCCTCCTATCTCTGCCTCCTGAGTAGCTGAGGTTATAGATGTGAGCCACGGTACCTGGCTCTCTACATGTTTTTAAATGACCATGGAATCACACATTTCCACTTTTTTTCTTCTTCTCCAAGGGTAGAAACACACTTGAAAAGTATGTTAAGACTGAGTTTCCAGAAAAGTAAAATAATATTAAAGTTAATTATATGATGAAACAGAGAATAAAGACATGCTTATCATAGAGATTTCATGGTGAGCAAGCCCTGAGAGAGGAGAGGAAGAGGGATAGAACTTATCTTGAGTGTTTGTTATAAGCCAGATACCGAGTACACCCACATCTGCCACCTTTGTAATTCTCACAACGTCCTAGAGAGAGACATCACCATAACCATCACCACCTTTATCATTGTCGTCATGGCCATTTTTAACAGCAAAGTATGAGGGTTCAGAGAAGTGAAGTAACTTGCCCAAGGTCACATGGCATTAAGTGACTGACCTGGATGTGAACTCAGGTCTATCTTGCATGGAATAGTTTTCAAATCCATTATTAAGCAGCCCTCACGAAGTCAAGAAAATAAGCAACGCACACTATGCTGGGGTCTGACAATTCACGCAGAGGGACCTTCGGAATTGACTCAGGAGCCCTAGGCTGGGAACAGCCCAAGACAGAAAACAAACTGCAAATCCTGACATGCACACTGTAGGGCCTCCTTCTGCCGTGAAGTGATTCCCAGGCTCTATGAAGCTTCTTCAAGCCTGTGTAGATCTCAGAAGCAACACTTTGAGACCCACATAGTCTGAGGGTGACTCTGGGTGGCTGGGCCTGCTGGCTTCCAGAGTCTTCATCACAGGGAAATCTCAGGACACACTGCAGCTCACTCACTCACACGTGAGCTTGGGGTCCATGGCCAGCACTTTTACAGGCTCACAACACGGGATGTCCTCAAACTCCAAACAGCTCTGGCTTCGATGTCAGTACCAGCACCCTCTGCCCTTTCAATGGGCTTTCTGTCGGGTGCAATACTACCTTCCACTTTCAACCTTCTCTGATCAGAACAGCTCAGTGGCTAAGAGCAAGGCCAGACAAGTCCCAGCTCTACCCCTGTCTCACTTGGACAGATCTCCAGCAATGTCCGCAGCACAGCCTTTTCATTTTGTGAAATGATGAGAAGACCACATCCATTTCCAAGACCTCAGACAGGGTGGAAGGGGAGTCTACAGAGTGCTCACACCTCCTAAGTGCAGACCATGGCGGCCATTGTTAGTGTCTATACTGAGTATAATGAATGGTAAGAGGAGGGTTTGGGAAGAGACAAGTATAGACTCCTCCTGGGCCAACAGGCCATGATCATATGGCCCCATGATACCAGGCAAGGCAGATCCAAGACTTACTTCCAGCCACTGTATGCCAGGAAGCCCCGTTGACAGTGCCATCCTCCTTCTGGAAGTCTTCCGTGTGGCACACTCGCCTCCGGGCATCCGTCATGAGGCGGTGAGTGGAGGCATAGGAGTAAGCTAGCCAGCGGAACACGTGGTCATCGGGCGTGGGGGTGTGCTCCTGGGTCTTCCACAGGGACCGCACCATGTCATAGGGGTATGCCACTACTAACTCACCCCCCTGCAGGTTCCCGCCCAGCACAAACGGGATCTTTTCCATCCAGGCAATGACTGCTCTGGTCTCCATGGCCACCTGTGAATGTGCACAGAAGGAAATTGTTTCACCTCGCTAGCTTCCAATCAGGGACATATTCTAAGAAACAGAAACTTTATGGAATAATCTAAGCAATATTTAGCATGTCATACTCTGTCCAGGGAAAACTGGGCTATGTGAAAACAATGGATAGAAAAGGGGAAGGCTAGGGAAGTGTCAAGTTTCCATTACAGGAATATTCCATTGGATACCTGAGAGGGAATGTTAGAACGACATCATTCTGCAGAGCCAATGAATGCCTGGGGCAGGACTGTTCATCCAAAGCTCCAAACAGCAGAACAAAGACACAACCAAACACAGAGCCTCCCTCTGGAAGGCTCACACTTAAAAAATACCTACCCGAAATCTGCTAAGCCTCTAGCCCAGGGGTCAGCAGACTTTATCTACAAAAAGCCAGTTGGTAAATATTTTGGGCTTTGTGGGCATTCAGTCTCCATCACACCTGTCCAGCTGTACCCCACAGCAAAGGAGCCCCATGGACAAAACAAAATGTGTACCACTAAGATACCACTTATGTCATTGAGGCGCCACCTACACCAGCGAGACACCACTTAGGACAACAAGCCTTGGAGGTTTTGGCCTCTGGGCTGTAGTCTGCTCCCCTGATCTATCTAGTCTAGTTCAGTCACTGCTAATTTCCAGAACACACAGAGGGATGTGTACAGGACATCACAGGCATGCAGGAATAGCACCCAGGTAGCATAACAGACTGCAGAGAACCAAGATGTCACAATGGACTCTTGCAAGATAAGACAAACAACAAAACTGCAGAGAAAAAGAGAAAGTGATAGAGGGGAAAATGAAATGAATGGGCTTTAGTTGAATCCTGATTTACACACTGAGGGGTAAGGTAGGATGAGAAAGAGGTGGAGAGAGGAAAAGGAGAGGAGAGGAGCAAGAGGAGGGATGGGAAGAGGGGGAGGATAAAGGAGGGGAGAGAGAATATTTACTGATCAGCATAAAAAGGGAAATGTGAACTCTAACCAGATATTTCAGAATATGAAGAGATAACTTATTTTGATATTATAATGGTAAGTTCTTATGGCTTTAAAAGAGAGTCCCTATTTTGTAGAGATGCTACTGAAATATACATGAAATGACATCATGCCTTGGACTTGCTTCAGTAAGAGGGAAAGAAGAAAATGTGGGTGGAAGTATATATGAAACATGAATTGTCAAGTGTCAAAGCTGACACAGGTGCAGGTGGGAACCTTACAGCTTTCTTTAATTTTGTATGTTTGACATTTCTCATGAAAAAAAAGTTACAAGAGAAAGAACACTGATGATGTTTAAAGGTTAAATTAAAAGTTTGATATAATCTAATACAAGTGAATCAAATATCAACAATAAGTTACTAAAGATAATTTCAGCAAGATTAAATTGATAACGACAGAGAAATAAACACTGGGAATCACTTAACTGTGCAGTGTGAGCTTCCTTAAGCTTTGTTTTTGTTTTAAACACAGTGGGGGCCCTGGATTGGGCTAACCAGGGAAGTTAATTCATCAGTGTCAGCACAGATGGTGTTGTGAATCCATCAGCATCTCAGCAATGGGTCCTGTGCACCTGTGTGGTTTGACCCCCACCCCCCCTTCTGCTCCCCACCCAGAAGAACCACACCACCCTAAAAGAGGCCACTCTCATCCTCTCTATTTTGTTTAAGCCATATATGAATGACTAAAGATACATTGTTTGGTTTTACTTCCTTTTAATCTAAAAACAAAAGAAGGGGGAGGGTGCACTCATACCAATTGTCCCCTACAATTTTTTCCACTCAATTTGTTTGTAAAATTCATCCCTGATTTTGATCGAAGCTGTTGTTGAGTCTTTTTCACTCTTAATCAATCTATCCTTATGCTAATACATTAAGCAATTTTCAATCTTTTGCTACAATGAAAAGTATGCTTTGAACTTTCTTGTACTGAGTGAGTACCTCTCCCTCTCTCTCTCCCTCTCTCCCTCTCTCTCTCTCTCTCTCTCTCTCTCAAGCAATTAGTGAAAGCTGAGGGTAATTTTATAGAAGTAATAAATTCAGGAAAGGTTGTCCTGTTTTGAAACATGGTATTGTTGTAAAGAAATACAATTAAGTTACTATAAAGAATCCAGTATCAATTAAAAGGTAGTTATTATTCAGCTTTCCCCCCTACTTTTGGAGAAAACAAGAAAGAAAAAGCTGGCTTAAATGTCCTATCCTCTACAAATACCAGCAGGTATCCTTTGGCCTTCCACTGCTCTACAGATGAAAGGTGTTTTTACTCACAGTGGCATTTTCAGACAGAAACCACTCAGGGATGGCGATGTAGTGGTTGGGAACTTTCCTCGGGACATTCTGGCGATCCTCTGCTTCCCAGAGCAGCGTGTTTAGATCAGGAAAGTTGTTGTTGATGTCGATCCCGTCGTGGGTCCAACGTCCTAGGGACCAGCCTCCCAGCTCTGAGCCCTGGAGATGATTCAGAATGTGAAGAACCATACACGACAAGAACTGCCAGATTCCTGCTACACGAGATGCACCAATGTCCTTCTCTTCCAGGCACACCTCTATGTCTCTAGACATCCTTTGACCCAAAGATGGCATCCACAGGAGAATACTAAAAAACCTGCTACTGGGATTTGATGGGCCATGGATAATATAGTAAATTACTCCAACGTGGGCACCCAGAGAACCACTTCTGACACACGGCAGTGCTCAAAAGTATTAGATCCCTTCTCCCACCTTTCCCCTCCTCCCTCCTCCACTGCTCTGCTGAAGCTCGGAGGAGTGATGGGCCTATGACTCCATCACTGCAGTACACACACTGCTGATACAGTACTAATGCATTCTCCCACCCCACCCATGAGCCTGCTTACTCGCTAGCATTCCAAATCTCTAACCAATTATTTGTACCAGGAAACACAGACAAGACTCTGTATCGTAAAGCTTGCGTTCCACAGGTATCATTGTCTTACAGTTGTCCACTTATTTCCAGATATTGTGATGTATCCTAATGGATTCACAACATGACATAATACTAACCAGACTCAAGGTGTAACTGTATACCCACGACCGATACTGTACTAATTCCCATGTGACCGACCTATGACCTATACTAGTTCCATGTCATAACTAGAACAGGAAATATAACCAATATCTCATAACAAAAGCACAGCTATCTTTAGGCGGCTGATGAGAGGATTAAAAGTGCTAATCAAAGCTGGCACATACCTAAGGCGCTCAGTCATGCAGGTGTTGCCATGCTCTGGCACTGCCATAGTGTGTGGAATAAATCACTTACTCATGTTGCCCTCTCCAGTTTTCGTCTCCCTCTCAGGGTCACTGTAAGTCCCGATTCCGGCTTTGCAACTCTCAGAAACCTTGGGGATCCCCAGTCTTAGCAGAGAGACACTCGGAAGGTTCAAAGGTGGGGTTCCTCTGAATTTGGCCAGCACACCCTCGGGTAGGGACCTTATGCTGGCACTGGTGGGGTTTGGAGCCCTTACCCCTTCGCAGGCCTTCTCATAACCGTCAGGGTTGAGGGAGGGGAGGATGTGGATCCGGGTCTCCTCCACCAGGTGCACAATGCGAGCGTTCCGTGCCAAGTACTCCTGGCACAGGAACTGCAGCAGCAGCAGCAGCAGCTCGCGGCCCAGCACCTCGTTGCCGTGGGCTCCAGCGATGTAGTGGAACTCGGGCTCACCTTGACAGAGACAGAGACACGGGCTCCTGAGGGCAGGTGCACAGACACGTGGATCCCGAATGATGTAAACTTGCCTGCTATCTGTTCTTTCAAATCAACCTCCAAAATTATTTCAGGACAAATGTTTTATTCCTAAGTAGTCAGGTATGTAAGAAAAGGTACAGACAACCCTTATACAAGAGCCCGGGGTAATCACACACATGCCTACTTGGCAAGGAAAGATAAACCACACAGCGCTTAGGCTGGAAGGCTACAAGTTACACACAAGGCCTAGCAATTATTTTTCTTAAAAGAACTTCCCATTAAGGACCCACAGATGAATCTGAGCAGAAAATAGTTCAGCAGAGACACTATGTAGTAAAAGGCTGTCTGAGAATTCTCTTTCAAAGCTCAGATCCTGAAATGAGAGGTGCCGTGGTGTAATACAGATGTCCTCTACAAATTCCTACATTGGAACTAAGACCCATGTGACAGAATCAAGGGATGGGGCTTTTAGGAAGTGATCAGGGATTAGTACCTTTACAAAAAGGCTTGAGGAAACTAGCTACCCCCTTTTGCCTTTCTGCTTTCTACCATGTGAGGACACAGCAAGAAGGAACCACAAGGAACCAAGCCCTCACCAGACACCAAATTAACTAATGCCTTGATATTGGACATCCCAGCCTAGGAGATGAGAACTATAAGAAATAAATTTCAGTCACCTATAAATGACCTGGTCTCACAGGTATTTTGTGATAGTAGCTAAGCAGACGCAGATACGGGAGGCTATCCATGAGCTGACCACACTTCCTTTCCTTGCTGTCCAAGCTGCTGTGGGAGGAGGGTGGTCACATCTGATTTTACCCACTGGTAAGGCTTTAACCTTGGGAAGAAATTCCTGAGACTCAAGGAAGGCTAAAGGTGAATGATTCAGACAAATTTTTGCACCTGACTTTCAGTGGATTTCTAATGAGCTCCCTTATTTACCAAAAAGAAAACCAGAGAAACCCACCTGGCCTACACTGGGCTCAGGGTGGGGAGTGATTGGAAAAGGCTGGAAACAGGCAAGGCTTAAAGACAGGTTTGTCATTTTTTAAAAAGAAGAGAACCCTATAATTTGAGCCTTCCATGACCAGGAAGTCCAGAATGTTCTCCTGGAAGAGGATTCTGTCTTGTCTCTAGCCATTTTCTCCTTTGGCTATTCTGACTGGCCTGATAGGTTGAGAGAACAGAATTAAATATGGTCCCTTTGGAGAAAGGAAAGGTATTTCTAGCATAAATAAACTTTACAAGCCCTTGTCATAGGTGAGAGGCTCACAGAACCAAAGCCTCATTTTCTATGCGAGGTTTGCTGCATGAGCAGCTTGTGGCCAGCTTTGTGAAGTTGGGGTGGGAGTGGGGGGTGGGGGGGTGGAGGGGGCGTTGCGCTCCTCACCGACTTCATGCTGCCCGGGATGGTCGGAGATCTCCACAGCATATAGCTTCAGGCCCTGATGGCTTTTGCCGATGTTGTAGATTCTGGTGATGTTGGGGCACATTTCATTCACAACCTTCATCAACTGAAAGACAAAGGAAACTGAAGGCACCTCCTCACACCCCGGCGGCGACCCCTCTGCCCAGAACGACTCCTTTCCCCAGGATAATGCCCAATTTTCCTGCAGACACCTGCCCTTTGCCCCACCCGACCCTGCAACCTGGCAGTCCTGCTGTGGTCTCCCAAATCCACACTGAAACAGAATCATCAATGCAACACTATAAAGAGGTGGAGCCTTGAGGCAGCGATGATGTCTCCAGGGTGGAGGCCTCACAACTAGGAGTAGTGCCTTTATAAGAGCCCCAAGGGAGCTTGATACCCCTCCGCCAGAAGACGTGGTGAGAAGGCTCCACCTGTGAACTAGAGAACGAGCCCTCGCCTTCACCAAACCTGCCAGCACCATGAGTTTGAACTTGCAGCCTCCAGAACTCAAGCAAGAAATGTCTGCTCTGTATAAACCTCTGAGTTTATGTTTATCTTTGTCACCACAGTCCCAATAACTTCCTCAGCTGTGGTTATCATATCCCTGACTGCAGCTATCACCTTCTTAATTGTGGTATTCATCTCCCTCAGCTCTGGTTATCACCCTACTGACTGGGGTTATCAACCACCTGGATGCTGTTATCGCTTCCATGGATTTTTTTTTTTATAATTTCTCTGATGTTATAACTTCTGGCTACAGTTATCACCTCCCTGCTATCACCTTTCTAGGTGTGGTTTTACTGTCTAATTACTGTAATCACCGGCAGTGGGTGTGATTATCACTTCTGAGGTTAGTAATCACCTCCATAATTGTGGTCTCACTTTTATGGTTGTTTATCATCTCTCTTGTTAAGGTTATCACCTCCCTGGTGTGATCACCTCAGAGGATGTTTTCACCTCCCTGGGTGTTGTTATCATCTCCCCAGTCTTTGTCATCACCTCCCTGGGAGGGGTTAACTATCTGGGTGGGGTTATCACTGCTATGGGTGTGATTTTCATCTACCTCATTGGGGTTATCACCTCTCTGGGTGTTATTACCTCCAAGAATGTTGTTATCACCGTCCTGGGTGTGGTTATCACCTCCTATAGTATTCTAATCACCACTCTGGGGGCTGTAATCACCTCCCTGGGTGTTGTTTTTACCTCTGTGGGTGTGAATATCACCACTTGGGGTGTAATTATCACATCCCTGGGTGTTGCTGTCCTCCTCTGATTAGTGTTATCACTCCTGTAAGATTCTCACCTCCATGGTTACATGTATCACTTCCATCATCATGGTTAACACCTTTCTTGTTGATATTATCTCCTCCCTGGTGTGATTCTCATCTCCCTGGGTGTGATTTTCATTTCCCTGGTGTAGTTATCACCTCTCTGGGTGTGATTACTACCTATCTACTGTGGTTATCACCTCCTGGTGTAGTTATCAACTCTGTGTGTGTGGCTATCTCTTCCACACTCCTGTATTTATGGTTATCACCTCCCTGAGTGTGGTTACCTCCTCTTTGGTGTGATTACCACCTCTTTGGTGTGGTTACCACATCTCTGGTGTAGTTATCACCTCTGTGTGTGTGTGTGTGTGTGTGTGTGTGTGTGTGTGTGTGTGTGTGTGTATCACCTCTGTGTGTATGGTCTTCACCTCTGTATTTGTGGTTATTACCTCCCTGAGTGTAGTTATCACTTCTCTGGCTACAGTTTACTTCCTTGAATGTGATTATCTATTTCTCTGGTTACCTGTTATCACTTCTGTGGGTGTGGGTTGGTTATCACCTCTGTGGTTACAGTTATCACCTCCCTACTTGATTCTCACCTCCCTGATAGTGGCCATCATCACCTCCTGTCTCCTGTTTTAACAAATATTTTGGATACTAATTGCCCAAATAAATATTGAGAATCAGTAAACAATAAATATCAATATTTCCAGTTTACTGAATACCTGCACTGTTGGGCTGAGGAGGCAGACAATATTCTGCCCTCATGGAACTGGCAGTGCAGCAGACAGGAGCCATGGAACAACCCACTTCATGAGTGCTGAGTAAGGACAGCACATAGTGACCATGGTGAAGACATCATGGCACTGACCAGTGGTAGAGGTGACAGTCCCCCTTCTGAGAGACACTGAGTGATTTGCCCTGAGTCACCCAGCTGGTCCAGTGGAATCAGGTCTTTGGATTCTTGGAGCTCTTTCCATGCCCTATCTGTACAGGAAGATGCAGTGAAGCAATGAGAACCAGCATGTCTCTGCTGCCCATTTCACCTGCTGCACACTGTGACTGTCCTGAGAGAAAGCCACAGCACACCTGCCATGAGGCTCTGTGTACCAGTCCCTGCTGGTACAGTCATTCTCTGCCACCAGCATGGATCTCAGAAGATCATGATTGGCAGGGGTTCACTGTCTTGTGTTCAGACCAACGACTAGTTCTGTAGACACAAGAGCCAGGTGTTTTGGCAAACACCTGGCTGTTCTTTATGATCACCCTCCTCCCCCTTTCAATTAGCTGCAGGTGCAAGGAGTACCAGTACTAGAGAGCATGACCTTGACACTGGAAGAAGACGAGTAGCATCTTCCCTCAGGACACATACTTAGTCATGGATATGAGAAGTATCTTGGGCCATGAGCCATCCAAACCCCTTCTTCATACTCTATCCTCCATTGTAATATTTTGACTCCACCCCATTCTCTCTCCAATGGTGCAGTGCTGGTTGTTAAATAAAGTACATGCCGCTGTGCCATGTATCAGAAGCATCTTTCCCTTGTAAAAACATGGGCATTTGAAGAATCAGCTTTCAGAATGTCCTTTGCAATGCCAGGAATTATTTTCCAGTGGCCACGAGCACCAAGCACCGTGAAATATGGGTGGGTGATGAACCTCCCTGCTCTTCCCAGCAAAGCAATCATGAACAACCCAGAAATGAATTCCTCATTTGAATGCAGCTCCTTCATTTAAGAGAATGCAACTGCTTATTTCTCAAGAGTCCTGGGAAGTAGTGAAGAGGTCTAGTAGAGATGAACCGATTTGGGTAGTAATACACATGTGCATGGAAGCAATGCTAGAAATCTCTCTGTATAGCTATCCTTATCTCAAACTAGCAAAAACGCTATGTCTTTCTTATCATTGCTTATGTCTTCTCTTCAACAAAATTGGAGAAGAGGGCAGAACAGGTTTGGAAGAAATGGCCCAAACAACGTATGCACATATGAATAAATGAATAAAGAAAAAAATGGAAAAAAAAGAGTCGAGTGTTCTTTTTTGGAATTAAGTCTTTATGGTAATCATGTGGATCTTGTTAGTTAGAGAGAGTAAGGAGTACAGTGTCGTCATGGCCTGGGGCATGCATTCTCGGGAAGGGTAAATAAACTGGTTGCCCAGGTCTGAAACATCTTAGATATCACAATACTTTGTGCCCTCTAAATCCCATCCCTACTGAAAATAATCTTATTCCTAGAATCTGATATAATAGAGGGGACAGAGATTAAGGAGAAAATGTTTGAAAAGTTGCCTTCAGGGGCACAATATGAAAAACAGGTTGAGATGTATGAGGGAGGGCTGGGGTTTACAAGACTTCTTCCTTCAACTCTGAGGTGGGAACACAGTTGGCCTTCCTAGTGTCTACTAAAGTCTAGGCTTCCCTGTTTCCCTTCTCTACTGAAGGAGATAGAATAAATAAACTCTTTTCTAATAATCCAATTTCTGGCAATATTTCAGAAGGAAATTATTCACAAAGAATGGCAAAATGATATGCATGGTGACACTTGATGTGGTATGTCCCCTACGTTGACATATTCATTAAAATTTGGGAGATATCCAAATGCTTCCAGGCAGGAAGAAAGCTGAGAAACTCTGACGCATCCACTCGTCAGATCTTGCTGCTACATAACGATTGTAATTATGAAGACAGCAGGGAAAATGCTAGTGATCCAGTGAAAACTGAGAGAGGCTGAGCAAAGATGTAACTATCTTCTGATCAAAATCATATGGAGTCTGCGAACACAGAAATGCAAACATTGGATAGAAATGTGTTGCTATAGTTTGAATGGATATATCCCTCAAAATTCCTATGTCAGAACCAAAGACCCAATTTGAGAGCAGTATATAGGGGTAAGGCCTTCAGGAAGTGATTAAGTCACAAAGACTCTCCCTTATGAATGGAATTAGTGTCCTTATAAAAGGGTTCAAGGGAATGAGCTAGGTCATTTTGCCCTTCCACCTTTTACCACAAGAGAACACAATAAGGCGCCATCTTGGAAGAAGAGAGCAGCCCTCACCAGACACTGAATCCACTGGCACCTTGACCTTGGTATGCAGACTCCAGAACTCTGAGAAAATAAAACTTTTTCTCTGAATAGTTTTTTAAAAACTATTGTTGTACTGGAGGTACACTGTGACATTTACCAAAGTTCTTAGAATATATCATAGTTGAATTCACCCCCTCCATCATTCTCCTTTACCTCCCCTGCCCCCCATTCCTGGGAACAGTTTCAACAGGTCTCATTTTTTTATTTTCATACCTGAGTACATAACATTTCCACCAAATTCACCCTTCTACACCCTTCCCTTACACCCTCCCTCTTTCTACTGGTGCCAATTCTTTTTGTTTATAAAATGCCTTTTTGATACCAAAAGTACAGAGTCTAAGACCTGAGGGAAAAAATGGAAACTGCTAATTCTTTAGTGCAGAAGATTCTTGGAGAATTTTTCTTCAGACTTTCAGTGCTGCATTTGATGTTGATACAACACTGTGTGTCCAGTGAATGAAAATGTTTTTTAAAAACAAAAGAAAAAAAAGGCAGCAGACAAAAAGTTCTTTTCCACCATCTTTCCTCATTTCCTTGGGAAACAGACACCAACCTTGATCCAATGGAAAAGGAATTTCAGAAGGAGGGAATCACAGTGAGAGGCATCCAGTGGATTAGGGCTTTGGTGTGTCCAGACTTACAGGTCTGCTCCCCTGCCCTGGCTTCCTGCCACCATCACCCATCCCTAGGGTCAGACTGAGCATACAGTAGGTGGGGAGCTCAGCTGCTGCGCCCACAGCCCAATGTCTATCCTCAGCTTCCCTGGAAATAAGTACCTTCCAACCAGCTGTCCCCCTACCCCAGTCTCACCCTTCACTTCTGTCTACCTGCATCACGTTCTCTATGTATCAGACAACCAACCAGAATTTGCTGAGCATCCAGACCAGCCACACCCTTACTGAGAAACCAGTCCTTCCTCGCTGAGAAAGATACCCCATCTCCCCACAGGACCATGCCAAACCCCTCTTTCACTCCAACAGGTGACCTAGGACTAGCCAGCCACCTCAGAAATGCTTCTCCCCTCACCCTTCCCAGGCCCAGGAGGCCCCTCTCCTAGGAATTCCAGCAGCACCTGTCAACCTTCATTCTACACTAGAAGAACACAGCTCTGCTCACATACAGAACCCCATGGGTCCTCAGACTCAGCACCAGCCTCTTTTCCCAGAAGACTGTTAAGCGTTTCAGACACACACCTAGATGTGCCCACCTCCACCCCCTTGTTCTTGCTGTCCTCTCTGTGCACTCTTCCTTCCCTTTCTGCCTGCCAAAGCCTGGCCACACATCCTGCACTACAGACAGCTGGAGCCACGGACAACCTCACCAATTGATCCTTCCTCCCATCTGTCATAACTGTAATGACCTCAAACATAAGTATTCATCATTGCATATTATGAATGTATGATAAAATGACAGGGTGTCTGCCCTCATCATCACAAATGAAGGATACAGACAATGTATATGCAAACAAATAAGCAACTAAGCATTTATAAATTGTGATGCATGCTAGGAAGGCCTCCAGGGTTCTCTTGGCACCATTCTCACTCTGTGTTACAGTATCAGTGTCTGGATAACCTTCACCTTCCTCTTTCTCTACTCATTCTCACATCCTGCTCCTCCCCTCTGCCTGGAATGAAGCCTACAAGTCAGCACCACCGGGAGGATATTTACTGCATGGGAGTCAGACACACTCTCATAGCTGTCCCATTGCAAGGCAATAAGATTTTCCACTTTCTCTTCTCACTTCCTGCTGCTATTTTTCATTTTTTTGTTTTTTGCAAATGTCTCTTTCAATAGTGTGATCAATCAACCATTTTTTTTTCCTGAGGTAGAAAGATTTCTATAGTAACCTCCCAGACTCCACATGAGGAAATAGCTTAAAAGGCTGTCTTCACTCCCATCCCTGGATCCCTCACCAGAATCCAGGCATCCAAATGGCAAATCACTTCCATCCTGAACGATCATCAGCACTGAGATGCTGATTGGTGGGTCCTCCTCAGAGGGGTCATCTAGTGTCCCCTGGACTGGCTGCATTAGTGATCCCAAGTCCTCTTGGCTCTGACATCCCCCGAGTGACAGTGATCAGAGTCACCTCTTGTATGAGGCATGCTCTACCACCTTTCCATGTGGGACAACTGTTTAAAGGTCTCAGCACCCAGACCTCTTTGACAGCTCAATTTAAGTGCACTTAGACATATTACTCCTGACACTCATTATGTCAGTTGAGTTGATTATTTATCTCAGGACACACAGTGTCCTGAGACAGCTAGAGAGCAAGGCTGCATCAACCCATCAGCACTCCCTAAGATGGAATGGTGGGCAGAGCCATATAAATACCCCGAGAAAGCAGAGCAGCAGGCATGAGTCACCGCCCTCAAGTCCAAGCACATTATCTGTTTCTGAAGAGCAAGACAGCAAGAGGAGTTCTTTAGCACATCCCACCTCCACGTCTGTGCTGACAGGAAGCTGCATGTGAGTATCGCAAGTTAAATGACTTTGACACAGGCCAGGCATGCTCATTCTGTGTGACTGTGGCTCCTACTTCAGAAACTTCTCCTGGGTTTGTCCTGGACAGCTGGCTCCTTCTCTTAGCACTTATGGGGCCTCCCTTTGAGTCATATTAACTGGCCTTTGGTAAATCCTTGTTTTATAATGTGTTCATGATGACATTTCTGCTTGTGCCATCTCTTCAGAGTCTTGGATGTCTAAAGATTTTGCGTTGCCTGTACCTCCTCATGTTTTCTAGCACACACTGGGAGCAGACATGGAACAGGGTTTCGGAGGCAATGGGGCTGCCCTTTCAACTCATTCTAACAGGCAGTGGGCCCTTCTCCCTCTGTAGCTAGCATACCACCAGCTAACTCTCATAACTCTCTGGGGTTAAGTATGGAAAAAGATCATCTGTTGTCTTCGCCTTCTAGTGTACTCAGAACCACAAAGGCATCTACCTGAAGTGGTGAAGCCTGGCTACACGGAAGCACAAGAAGAGCATCTAGTCTAGCCCTTGTCTAAGAATTCTGCTTTGCTCGGTCTGAGATGGGCTTCAGAATAGATGTTTGTACAAATTTCCCCACGTGATTCTAACAGGAGACAAGATTGAGACTGAGGATCTGTAATACAAGGCAGTGCTATACAGTGTCTTGGTGACTCATTTTCCCCATCTACAAGAAAGGCTAAGTGCAGCCCCTACCCTCCTGGGCTCTTAGGAGGCCTGAGCACAGTGATGGCGGTTAATCACTGAGGACAGCATCCAGGCCTACAGGAAGGCTCTGTGCTACCGTCATTGGTGTTGTGTTGGATCCTTCCTCTCCTTTGACTCCACACAAGACTAATACTCTTCAGTCAGTGATCTCAATCAAACATATAAATGGCTTTAGAAACTAGAGTACTAGATGAGGAAAGTCTGGATTTGAATCCAGTTTTTGCAAGGGAGCCTTCCTCTGGGCACCTGAGTCCCAGTCTTGAACCATGAGCACGCACTGTATCTTCAGCCGGCCAAAATGACCGTCGGGCTTCTGTCTCTTCTATACCATCCTATGTATGCATATGAATATCAAGTATTTCTGGACATATCCCGTTCTGTTACTCATTGGCAAGCTCCTGTCCCAAGTCCCCCTGCTCTTGTCTTACCTGGCGCATTTCCTTATAGTTGTGGTGTTTAAAATCCAGGTCATCAGTGGTGGTCATCTCGTTTCGTCGGTGATAATAGTTATTAGGATCTGGGAACAGAAAAATAATTCGAATTCACTTATATCATTCTGTTACTTGCGGTATATGTAGAGACAGAAGGCATTCTCAACACACAGCCCAACACAGGTGAGAGAACCAAGCCACCGGCAACCACATGGGAGTCAGAAATGCCCGATGTTTAAGAGAACGGAGCCAGAGAGCCTGGTTCAAATCTCTGCTCTCCTACTTGTGCTGTGTGACTTTGGGCAAGTCACCTGAGCAGACTTTGCCTTCATTTTTCACCTGCAAACATGGGAGGAAATGGTACCTACTCCACTGGTTTATGGTGACCAAAAGAAGGGATAACCTGTGCACCTGGCAAACTGCCAGTGCTAAACAAGCAACTGTGAGAATATCAAAACTGCAAGCATATGGCTGGGACTTTAGGAAATTAGGACTCCAACCCAGGATGCAGTCCCTTTCATCCTTCCTAACAGAAGCCCTACAGTTGGGAAATCCCTCTTCCCGCCTCTAGGGAAGTCTCAGGTTCCCATCTGTAGGGCCATGTCTCTCCAACTTCCCTGGGATAAAAGGGAGCCCTCTGGAACAGAGGAGGAGACAGTGACAATCTACCCCCAGCATGAAGAATTCTTAAGCATCGCCCACTTGCTGCAGTGGCCATCTGTCCACAAGAGGAACTGTCCTCAGAATGATCTCAGTGACATGGGTGACCAGGATCAGGAGATAGAACCAATGATGTCAAGAGCTCCTGATCAATCAGCCCTGCAGCCAGCCTTCTTTGGAACTTCCTCAGACATGGGATAAAGAATCACCAAAGTGGTGACGCCAATGAGCTCCAGCCATGGGAACAGAAACACTTGTCATGGTTTGAGTATGAAATGTACCCCCAGGCTCATATGCTGAATGCTTGGTCACCAAGCATTCAGGTGGTGGAACTTTAGAAGATAGGGCCTGGCTGGAGCAAGGAGGCTGCTGGACTTTGATGGTTACACCTGGTCCTGGGCCCTTTCCTCTCCTTCTGCTTCCTTTCTGCCATGAGATAAGTAGCCTCTATATACTCCTGCCACCATGATGTTCTGCCTCTCAACCAGCCCAGAATCAAAATGGAGCTAAGGATTATGGACCAAAACCTCTAAACACATGAGCCAAAATAATTCTTCCCTTTAGGTTGTTTTGACATAGCAGTGAAATTCTGACTCATATAGCACCTTAACACGTATAATCAAAGTGTAGTAAACAGAGGTGACCCCTGAGGACTGGTCTGCACTCACTGGATTCCCTTCTACACAAATTAACATTTCCCCTTTAACTCTTATAAGCCTGTGCTGTTTGTATCATTTAAGAGCAAAGTACATACAAAAGAAGGGAGAGGATAAGGAGGAAGAACGAGAAGGAGACTGGCATGAAGGGACCCTCAGTCTGTGTTTAGATCCTTCACATCTGATGAGCAGAGAAAAGAGGCCACAGACCCCAGCCAGCCTGCTAATTGCTTCCAGTGTGGGATGCAGCCAGAAATCTGGCAAGCCCAGTGTCCACCCCCTCGCCCCACCAATGTGAAGAACACACAGTGCTTTAAGAGACTGACCTACCACCGAGGAACTGTGGGAGCAGTGTGAGAGCCACAGCAGCCTCTGCTTGATCCAAGTGCCCCACAAGCCTGTTCTGGAGGCAGAGGCAGTGGGTGGGCAACAGGAGGACCAGTACCCACTTCCTAGGGTGAGGGGACTACTGTGGCCCAATCTGTACCACCACTCACTGCTTGTCAGAACTACTCCACCCAACTGAATCGGAGCACACTTCTGACCAGAATCCCAGCTCAGTCCATGAGCTTGAAGTTGGAGACACTGTGTGAGAGCACTGTGCACACTCCCCAGCCTGGAAGAGGCAGGGTACCTGCTCTACCTGCTGGCATCAGCAGAGCCTGCCAGGTGCCCCTGAGAACTGAGGCCGCTTGCAACAAGTGAGGAACCATGTGTGGAGCAAATGCTGAACATACTGTTTTTCATCTCACAGAAGGTCTTCCAGTAATACTATTAGAAACAAGTCACTATCATGGAGCACAGTAATTAGGAACGGGGACAAACTGCATTCTGTCCAGGCAAGAAAGCAAAAGCCATCCAGGCTGAGCCAAACTTCCCAATTACTTCTCAGGAACCTTTCATTGGGAAGTGGGCTGACCAGGCCTCTGGCAAGCTGCCTTTCCTTTGATTTCCAAACAGCAGGTTTCAAAGCAAAGGTATAGTGAATTTTTCACATTCACTTACACTGAACTTACCCACTGTTTTCTGATAGCTATTCAATACCCATCCCCCAGCCTCAGGGGCAACTTCCAAGGGACTTGAAAGCCCCTTTTGTTTTCAAATATGAGTTATGCCTTCAAGGTTGTGAAAAAGGATTGAATAAAACTCAGAACCTTAAATATAAAAAGAGCTCTGTATTAGGCACCATTCTTCTTCCTTGAGACAATCAGCTGGCTGAAGGGTTGAGATAACAAGTTTCAGAACTGTTTCAAAACCACCAGTATTTTTCACAACTGTCAGTCTCCCATATCTTGAACAAATACTTCTTCACTCGTCCATTTACTCTAGTTGGACTGGGTTTTATTGGGGATCTAGTTGGAGTTCATCTCTTAGGTAAAAAAGTGAAGTGAACCCACAGCATAGTCAATTAGCTATGGAAGCAGCTAATGAGGCTTAGATTCTTTTGTAAACAAATCCTTTTCTTCTATGGGGAGCCTATTCCAGGTAATTCAGATGGAACTGCCTTGCCAGACACGCCCATGTATGAGCATGTAACTTAGGTCTGGTCAGTTGACACACCTGCTCTGGCCATAGTCACTGGCTCAGAGACCATCACAGGATCCACACCAGGCATCAGATGACTCCACTCCCACAGCTGAAGGACAATGTCCTTCTGCTGGGTCACTCAGACGGTAGGGTGAGTTTGGGTGCTAGTGACCAACCTGCCGGTCTGCAAGAGCATCAGAGGTGGAGCCCTGACCGCAACAAGGCAGCGCTGAGATGTTATCCCTACCCCTGCCCGAATCCAAAGCCAGACCCCCGCCTTGCGATTTTCATTTATGCCAGCCAGGCTTTTTAAAGCTAACTTGAGTAGGACTTCTGACATTTGAAGCATAAGTCCTTGACTGATTCAACCTTCATATCACAGATGGAGCTTTGACAAGTCAACCTCCTGCCTCCTCCTATGCAGTTAGTTTTAAACATCCCATACACCGAAAACCAGCTGATTCTTCAGGGACACCTTAGCTATGGGAAGAGATAAACTCCAGACATGGCACCTGAAATGGTTTTTCCAACCTACTCCCCTTATTAAACTATCCAAACATTCTGTTCTGTTCAAACTAGTGGGTCTGACATGGGCTCTGATATGTGATTTAAATAGATACCAACCAACCTGTGATGGTTTCCCTGGACTACCCTGGTTTTAAGCTGAAAACCTCCTCAGTTCTGGGTAGACTGGGATGGCTGGTCATCCTGTAGCATGGAGGAGGACCAGAAGAAAACAAACGAGGCCTGAGTTCTGATAAAGTAGCAGGGAGGTAGGGATGGTATTGCAAAGAGATAAAACCTGAGGAATCTGAATGTGGAGAGGTCACATAGCACTGGGAGGGGGAGAGTCATGTAGCACTAGGGTAAAGTAGCCAATAAAATTGTATATAACCAGATATGGATTAGACCTTGCTTTCTGCTTCTGTAACCTGCTTGCAAAGGTATATAAGGTGAGACCCCTTTGTTCTCTGGGCTCAGCCTTTGGACACAAGTCCACTGAGTCTGTGCCAGCAGAATAAAATGTTGCTTTCTGCTAAACTGCTCAGTGTCCTGTAACTCAGCTTGAGATTCCCACAACAATCCTATCAAACCAAGTGACTATAGGAAATAGACATCCTGGCATATGGTAATTCAATCATGCAGCTTACAGTCACCATCGCTTCTTATAGTACTCACAGCTTTGACTCAAAATGGATGCATGCATGCAGATGTTTTCTGGCTAAAAAATTAATTGTTCATTTGAATGATTAGCAATCGTTCATTGCCACCTTGATGACCACAGTAGATGAGAGAGAAAAAAACTTAGGGTCTCATCTTTGGCTAGACTGGACATATATTTGGCCATTATCTGGTGACTGAAGAGGTGGCTTTAATCTTGAAGTGCAAGGCCTTTGCTAGCTTCATTCCATCATCCATTGAACACATTGCTTCATGCCCAGAGCTGCACAAGATGCTGGTGATAGAAGGGTAAGAGATGCAAGCCCCAACTACAAGGACTCCCTCAAGACTCATGGAGCAAACACATCCACAGACATTCCTACTCAAGTGAAGAGAAGGAAGGCCATGCTCATCCTTGTCTTCCAGTTCAGGAAGGATACATGAAAGAAAGAAAGAGATGAGAGACCTATGAGAAAGAGAGATGAGGGGCGGGGAAGATATGGATGAAGAGGACAGGGCGGGGACACACACACTGGGATTCAGACACCTTCCCTTGAAGTTAAGGCATCTGCTTTGTGCCTTCCAGTGGCTCAAGCAAGAATCCACCCAGACTTGATAGTAAACAATTCCAAGGTCCCATGACATAGCTGCTCAGGACTGGGAGAAAGTGACAAAAAGGCCAGAACAGATGTTGAAAAGCTCTGATAGAACTAGGACCTGCCACCTTCCTCCAGCCAGTGTCAGCTGGGCACTGCTGAGTCCTGAATCACGACCAGCCTTAAAAGAACAGCAACAGGGGTTGGGGATTTAGCTCAGTGGAAGAGCGCTTGCCTGGCAAGTGTAAGGCCCTGAGTTCGGTCCCCAGCACCGAAAAAAAAAAAAAAGGAAAAAATAGAAAAAAAAAAGCAAAACAAAAGAACAGCAACAGCCCCAGATCAAAGCAGGTCATTAAAAATTCAAGGGCAATGTCAAGATTCCTACACTGTTTTGCTTTGCCGTTTGCTGCCTTTTGGTGGTAACCTCAGTTGGAATAAGTATGTGCTCAGGTGAGAAGGAAACAGCTTTCTTCACTGCACAGGCTCTCACCTGCCATCCAGAACTGCTGGGCCCATGGTTCCTTTGATAAGCTGTATCCAGAAGGCAAATTCAGAGAGGCAGCAGGTGTGGTAGGAGAGCAGGGAGATGGAGGAGATGGGGAGTGATTACCAATGGGTTCAAGGTGTTTTTAGGGGTGGCAAGGAAGTTCTAAAACCAGGGAGAGCAGGTGTTTCAGAACACTGTGAGTCACTGAACTGTACCTTTCTTTTCTAAAGGTTGTTTTCCCTTTATTGTGTATTGTATATATTAATGAGTGTTCAGTGTATTTCCACTTTCTTTTAATTTTTTTGAGATGGGGGTCTCACTATGTTGGGAAAAGTAAAGTTGCCTGAGCATATACCCTGTGCTGGCCCTCTTATGAGTATGATCCAATCCAGTCTTCACAATGTGTATCAGGAATGTAAGAACTGCTGAAAATTAAGAATGAAGTGAGAGCATTCCAATGGAGCAACAGAGTCCTTCTGGAGGAACTCATGGCATTTCAAGACAAGGCACCACCTACCTGAGTTGTGAGAGAGAAGGGAGTTTGTGGTCTCTATAAAAAGGGGGGCTGGTAGAGTGACTCAAGTGGTAGAGGGCCTGTCTAGCAAGTGTGAGGCTCTGAATTCAAACCCCAATCCCACCAAAAAAAAAAAAAAGCACCCCTCCCAACCTCCCACTCACCATCCCCAACCCAGAAGCCCAAGAGACAGGAAGTCAAAGACAAAGACAGGAAATGGAAACAGAAGAAAGGTCAATATGGGTGGGAAGACCAGTCTTAGGAACATGGTATGGCCCAATTGGAGGAGGAATGTGAGAATAATGGAGCTCCTTTATAGGATGACAAGGAGCCTCAGGAAGACAAATGTTGATGGCTTGGTCTGTGGGGTTTCATGCTGTATGTGGATAAAGCCCCTCCATCATCCCCAGAGCTCTGTGGTAGTTGCTCTATGCCAACCAGCACCAGTGAGACCGCTGCTTAGAATCTAGAATAACTGGCAGGGATAGTCTAAGGTGACTGCTAGCAGAACTGAGAGATAGAATGAGATACTGGATATAGAAGGCAACAAGACAGTCCCCCAGGATGCCCTGGAAATTCTAGGGATTGGAGGAGTCTGGGGGTGGGTGTTGGTAGGGAGTATGACAAGGGTTTGAGTTGTTTTACCTGGTTGTTTTAAGAAAGAGTGACCCCCCTCCAGATGTGGAAGCCCTTAGTCATAATTCTATCAGGAAGTCCTGAACTCCATTGTACAGGGGAGGGAAACAGAGCAGAGGGTTGCTCGAGATCACAGTTGCCAAGGAGTAGAAGTACAATTTGAACCCAGATCTGATCTAAGCCAAAGCTTATGCCTTTTCTTTCCACCCAGCTTCCCCTGAATGGGACAGGAATCCATCTCTTCTTTAAGGCCTTGGCAACCAGTAGGAATGCAGGGAATGCAGCTGGACACACAAGTCCAGTGAGCTCTTCAGTGCTCATCCAAAAGAGGCCAGGAGCATCCCCTTAGCAAGAGGCCTGAAATGAGGGGAGATATTAGACACCTTTGGGCCATACTCTAATTGCTGACTTTTCAGAAGCCCAGGCCAGGGGTCCAAATTAATGATCAACTTCTTGGCACAAGAGGGCATTCAGACTTTGTAAAGAAAAGAGAAGGTAACAAATCAAACAGATTTATTTAAAAGTCTTTGCACCTATGATGCCTCAACAGAGCAACACCTCATCCTTTCCCCAATTTATACACATTGATAGAAGGGGTGTTGACTGAAACACTGTTATAGCTCAGCCAGACAGGGGTAGCTTTAACCATTAAAGCAAAATTTTAGTAACTCCTGAACTTATAAACATGGGCTAGGAGGGTGTCCATATTGGAAGGAAAGAGATGCAGAATTCCAACTAGTCCTGGTGGTCCAGAGGAATGACTCTTGGACACTGCCTTTGGCAGCTCCTCTGTGCTTGAAGGACAAGACGGTCTTTCCACAAACCTCTGTATAACTCATTACTAGTTTCTCAGTGAGTCAAATCCATGAACCCTGGACACCTCAGTGATGCGTAGTGGAATAGGTGCTCAGAATTGCTGGCCAAGAAGATGAGGTGGGAGGAGTCAGAGTCAAAGTCACACATCTATAACAGAAGTTGCTGCATAGTAGCAGGGTCTCCAGCATCCATCCCCCAACACCAATTGTTTCCTAAGACTCGGGACACAACATCACTGTCCTGTAGGAAGTTGTGTACAAAGCTCACTGGCCTGTCTGAGATTCAGGCAGTATGCACTGCAGCCAACAAGGCTGTGACCTTGAAAAGTCAGCTGATGTCTCTCTTACCCTAAATTGTTTATCTTCAGAGACTTTCTCTAGATTCTGTTAAGTGTAGCTCTTTAGTTGAAAATGAACATATCCATTCAGCTTGGGAAAGAGGATTTTTTCTTGACTTTAAAAACTAATAATAATAAACTACACATACTGTTCACCATCTGAACAACCTTTTGTTTGTAGGCTTCAGTAGCATCAGCCACATTTACATGTGTTGCCACCACCACCATTCATATCTACAAAACTGAAACTCTACACCCATTAAACTAAAACTCCTCATTTTCTTTTACTTTTGAGGTTTTAAAAAACCTATTAAATAACCATAATATATGGCAATGCACTTTCCATCTCAAAGATTTCTGCAAACATTAACGATGTCTTAAAAAGCACCCACACCCTCCAAGTGGAGAGGCCATGGGAAGATGATGGAAGGGACAGAACAAAGAGATGCAGAAACAAGGTAAATAAATTTTTCATAAAGAAGAGTTCTGGGAAGAGCCAGCTCCACACGGCTGCATTTAGACCTAAGGACACCTTGGGTGTGGGGAGCTCAGTCAGTTGGGCCGCCTCTGCCTTTACACAAGGTTCATTTGGGGCTCAGTGCCACCTAGTCACTGGACCTGACCACCACCAGGCGGCATGTGTGAATGGCCAGCACATTCTGGACAGATCATTAAATAACTTCTAGAAGAAAAATGGCCCTAAATATTTGGGGAGAAGGAGATGGAAAACAAAGCCACAGTGAGTCCATACTTGAAAGCAGTCCAGATTTCACAATGCAACAGTTATTGTGAGTGTTTCAGTAGTGCCCAGGATCTATCTTAAAACACACACCAAGAATAACTTCACAGGGAAATATTTATTTCATGAGACTTGCACGGGCTGCCTCTGCCCTTCAACAACAACAGATGAATTCTTGACTGCAGAGAGAAACCATGACCCCACTCTTAAAAGCAAGCCGGCTGGCTGTGCTGAGCAAGACTCCAGTGCAAAGAGGGCCAAAGCCTGACTCCCTTCCTGAAGACACCCCTGAAATCTGTGGCTGCAGACACACTGGGCCTCCAGAGCTTGCAGGCCCAGAGTGGCAGTGGGCTGGATCTGGGACTGCAGCTCCAATTTGAACCTTGACAAAAGGAAACTCAAATCCCAGTCAACCAGGGTTTCCAGGCTCTCTGTATGAGCCTTAAAAACTGCCACAGCCTTTGTCCAGCATTCCCACTTCTCACCACCCAATTTCAGTTGTAGAAATGCACATATTAAACATCCATAAGGCAGATGGTCTCCAGTAGTCTTAATGACATGAAAAAATTTTTGCAATCTAGTAAGTGCAAACAAATATCCAATAAAAAAATCTGTCTAGCACAAGTGTAATTAGGTAGCGAGAGACCTGTCTTTCTTACCACTGCATGTGTTCTAAAAATCCATTGTTGGAGATGCAAGCTCATGGATAAGACAGATTAGGAGAAAAACAGTAAAATGACATTAATTATGCTTTGAAAACTCAGCAAATGTGAGCTCATGGCAGGGCTGGAGTAACTACAGGAAAGCATCAGAGCTGATGGTACCCTGCCCCTGGCAGTGCCAGGAAGTTCGGGGGATCCACATGTGGCCCCAGCAAGTCTGGCAGAGATGCGTCATGTCTCTGCTTCTCCTGTTCCTCAAGGCCTGACTGGAAATGGACAGGAAGGAGCCTCTCCTGAATGCTTTGATGTTGGGCAGCAGATGGTCTTGGAGCAGTTGCTTTCCACAGATGTCTGGTTATGATGTTGAGGCTCCTCCCCCCAGGCCCCTAACATCATAAGCCAGTGACTGCTGAAAGGCCAGCCCAGGCCAGCCTGTCAGAGTAGACACTAGCAGGGACCCAGATGCACATGTGAATTCTTGACAGTTTTCCTGCCACCTTGAGGTTACACCCAGATAACATCATGTGAAAATAGGGCTTGGGGAACACACCCCAAACAAGCAAACATTTACCCAAACATGGCACCTGAGGGAAGCTCTCTAAACAGAGACTCTGTAAATGACCAAGTTTAAGATGAAGTTCTGCCACCTCCTGCCCATCTCCACTACCCAGTATTGTGGAACCTGCCAAGGACACGGACAAATGCATGTGTCCCTCAAAAGTCCTTTTTGCAGTGGGATTGAACCTAGGGCCTCACATGTGCTTGCAAATACTCTATCACTGAGGCACACCCTCAGGCCCCTCAAAACTTTTATAAAATGTTTTTGCTTGGTTCTGGGTGGTAGTGGATGGATTTTCAACCTTGGAACATACATCATCTTTTTTTTTCTTTTATTCATATGTGCATATAATGTTTGGGTCATTTCTCCCCCTGATACATCATCTTAAAATCATGAAAGGCAAAACCACGCTAGGCAAAACATCTCGAACAGCTATGCATCTAGTGGTATTATGAGAAACTTGCATTTGTTTTCCTTTGGGCTCAGCTATGTTCTTAAAATAGTCTGGAATAGAAATGTACCTAATTTATAACATTATAAAATGTTTGCTTGGCTTATTTTGACTCGACTTGGCTAGGCACCTGTCTCCCATCAGCATCTAGTTCTGCAGGAAGTACAGGAGGTAGACTCACCTGGCAACGGGCATCCTAGGATCTCCATTCTCATACAGATGCTCCCATTATCAAACCAGGACTGCGGGTTTATGCGGATGTAGCGGGCCACCATGGGGACAGGCAGCTCATTGAGCACAGGGATCTCCTTCTCACTGTTTCCTTCAAATATCTATTTGTGCTCAAGGGGAAAAAGAATCTTTTAGAGCTTAATTATCAAGGGGTAAGAGAGTAAGTAATTCACTCATTCAGCAGGGCCTTATTGAGGAATCCCTAATGTGGAAAAAATCAGGCCCAGACCCTGCTCCAGGAAGCCCCCCACTAGTCAGGGGTGGGGGGAGCACTTATCCATTGTAGGAAGGTCCATCAGCCTCAGGGCAGAGGGACACAAAAGAGCTCTTCAGAACAGAAGAACCAGGCAAAGCTTACGGAAGAGGTGCTGGTTGAGCTGGCACTGAAGGAAAACTATTTAGCTCTGTAGGGATAGGAGGGGTTCTACAGAAAAGGATCAGCAGTGGTTGGAGAAGCCCAGCAATTGGATTCATACACAGAAGAGCAACTGTCCCTTTGTACTGGCACACAGGAGTGTTGGTGTGAGGTAAGAATGAGAAAGAAGGTAGGAAAAGGAGCTGCTGTTACAGTAGGCAAGGTAATGGATACCACACTCAGAATATGCACTTGAGAATCTGAGAATGAGTAACAGGATCTGACTTCCTATGCTGAGCTAATTGTGCTGTTAAAGATCCAAGGTCATTAGAAGAAGTAGGGAAAATCATGATTGAACAGCTGCTAGAGGCCCCAGCTCCCTGTGTGTTGACTTGGGAACTGGGTCAGAGGCTGCAATCCCAGAAACCCTTTGACTGAAGTAAAGGCTGAATTCTATATCAGCTCCAGACGTGGGTGCTGGGCCTCAGGGCATGGTAAGGGGGTCACTGTCCATCAGACTCTCGTGGTTGGTTTGAGTTGTCACAGAATTGGCAAACCTCCCAGGGACAGGACATACATTGTCTCTCTCTGCAGAGCCCCACACAGCCAGGTGAAAAAGGCATGGTTAGAGGGAAGACAAGACTCACCATGTCTCCAGATCCATTCTTAACAGTGACCCATGTATGGCTGTCATTGCTCACCATGACTTTATAGGATGTCACCCAGTCACTCCTACAAGGAAACAGAACAGCATTGGGACTGTATACTTTAAAATGCTTACCTCTCCCATACAGACGTGTAGAAGTAAGGAGAGCAGGTTTACTTTCTCCAGCACTGAGTCAAATCCTGGTTCCATGACATTTACTGGCTGTGTGACCTTAGTCAGGTCACTGGCCCGTTTATACCACTGTTTGTTCAACCATAAAATGGGAATCATGAAAGTACCAGTCTTAAGGAGTTAATTGGAGCATTGAATGGTTTAATACCCTTTAAATATTTAGGATAATTCCTAACCTCTAGTAAGCACTCAATGTTGGCAACACACAAAGATACAAAAAGACTTACATACTTGTTTGTATTGAACAATTTTGTCACATACAGTAGAAGCTTAATGGAATCCTGCATGAAAAAAATAGTATTCGTAAGGGTTACAAATTGGTCAGAAATTTCATTTGGGAGACTGACGGGAATGCAACAAATCACATCCCACTATCCACAAACATAGCATCTTGAGTCTCTTCAAGACCTTGGGTTTCTCCTTGGCTATCACAGTCATGTAGACAGTCCCAATGCCAGCCAGGATTCAATGATGGTAGACCCAAATCAGATTCCTGGCACCATGTCCTACCTCAGAGAAATTATTTGGGGTACAATATCCATATTTTGGCTTCCCAGAGTAGAAGCCAATCTTATAGGCTTGGCAAAAACACAACAAAATAAAAAGACTTTCACGTAGAAACACATTTTTCTCTCTGGTTCAGTTTTTTATATTAGTAAATGGTAAGCAATATAAAAAAGTCTTCCTGTGTACCACTCTCCACTCCAAAGTTCCCAATACTGACACTAAGCACCAACTAATGTTTAAGAAAATCCTGCCCACTGAAGTATTTGGAATCCTTTCCTTATTGTGAAATCTGCTTGGTCTCAGGACCCAGGCCTACCTAGAGAAGGGTCTGAGCTTCCAGTCTGAGTCAGACTGTCTGGTGAGTTTATGTTTGAATAATGACTGCAGCTCTGTCTCAGAACTCTTTTCTGAGCTACAGGACTGTAGATCATATTGTTAGTGATAAAGTCAGTGGTGGTCCATTTTCAAGGCAAGGCATTTAACCCTAAATGGTTGCTTGTGGATGTTGGGGGAGGGCCAACTGATAAGGGAACTTAAACTGGGAGCAGTAAAACATGATAGAATGAGGAAATGGATAAAAACTGTCTATGTGCCACAAAGCACATATCACAGGGAGGCCTTCCTGCCACAAAGGAGGTGGATACCACTTAATGCCCACTTCTAAACTTTGACCAATTCAAAGAGAGGCATATTTTTAAATAACCCAATAGGAAATGTAGGTGACTTTTGGGAAAGAATAAACACCCCATAGTTCTCACCCAGTGAGGAATTGGGGTAGGGACTTGTACACTAGAGAATATAATGTTTGTTGTAACCGCTTTGGGTATAGCTGCTCACCAGGCACCTGATCTTGCAAGACCACCATTAAAGTCTTGCTTTCACTGAACCCCATGTGTCTGAGACCATTCTTTGAGGTTGGACAGGTGAGTGTATTTCTCACAATATCCTTCTGCCCATTTGACCCCTCCATGTTCTATCTCAGGGACACCTCAAATTTAACCCTCCTCCAGTCAAGTGATTCATTTCTTCCATCAGGCAGAAACACTGTGGTCTAATGGAGTTCCTGCCTCGAAAAGATGTGGCCATCTACCCAGGGAGGCCAAAGTCCTCCAGCCATCTTGGGTATTCCCCTATATTCAGTCCATCACTAAGTTCTGTCAATTTTACCACCCAAATCTTTCTAAATGTATCCAACTCTTCCTACTGCCACTGTCACAAGTCCATCCCATTCTTACAAGTCAAGACTATTGCAAGTGCCTCCAAATGATCCTGAAATTTGCTCCTTCAGTTAGATGCATACTTTGCTAGTGAAATATTATCATGTCATCTCTTAATTAATTAATTCTCATAGTTTGTGGATTCCTTTGGAGGGTTTTATGGATGTGGTTATGTCATCTAAGAACAATGACAGTTCTGTTTCTATATTTCCAGTGATTAGGTCTTTTATTTCTTTTTCTTGCCTTATTATGCTGGCTAAGCTTTCCAGGTGAATGCTGAATGGAGTAGTAATAACAAACACCCCATCTCATTTCTGTGATTAAAGGAAAGGCTTTGATATTTTGCCATCTAGTAAGAGCACACACATATACACACATTTTAAAAACTACTTGTATGGCATTTACTAAATATACAATAATAATGTGAGCAGAAAAATGAATTCTGACCATTTTTGCTGAAATTCAACTTTGTTATTCTCTTATTATAGAAGTATGATAAGCTATCAAGCCTTCTGAAAGAAGGTTATATGTCAATTTATAAACTAAGAGATGTACCAATATACTGGTTAAGACCTCAGACTTAGAGGTTGTTGGATCTGGAGACCTAAGGCAGATGAGTGAGTGAGCATCCCATCCCCCCCTCCCCCAGGGCAATATCATTCCTGCACCCTGAGGAGTTGGAGGCCTGCATTTTGCACCCTGAGAGGGGTTGTAACTCTGCATTTCTGCATTCTAAAGAAAAGATACAGGGTCTGATAGATCTGCCACGGGGCTGATGAGCAAAATGCTCCCAAGATTGTTTCCCTTCCCCAGTAAGGTGCAAACCAAACCAGTTCACCTAAGAAAGCCCACAAATCCATGGCCAATGAGAAAAACCTACCAGAGTTAAAAAGTTCACAAAAGCCCCAGCCTTCACCTGAGCAGGGAGCTACCGGTTTCCGGGCTGGGCTCCGCTGCCTGTTCTAGCTGTAGCCTTTCTTTCTCTCTAATAAATCCTACTCTGTGTACTGGCTCTAGCTCATCAATCAGCTGCCTCACGAGCCAGTTCCCTAGCCTGTGAAGGCAAGGACCCTCGGCACCAGCCTGCAACACTTCAAACTGGCACATAACAAGGTCAAAAAGTCTAAGCCTAAAATCTACTTCCTCCACTTACTAGCTCCATGCTGTATGAGTCATATGACTCCTGATCTCCAGCTATAAGGTAACATCTTGACTTTCCTGTTCAGTGAATGAAGATCGACTAAAGTCATGCATGGAGTGTCTGAGCTTAGTGCCAGGTGCATAGGATCTGCTCAAAAAATATGAACTGCTAATAAGAATAAGACTATCATAATTAATTCTCAGTCAAATGCTATATAAATATGTAGGATTATTAGTTGAACTTCAGCACAATTCAGACATTGTGCTCCCTCCAGACATCTCCAGGCAGTGGATGTTCACGCTTAAGCCTTTGGGCCCTAGTAATGCCAACAAATCTATCACAGCCATAAAGACATTAAGGATTAACTAAATCACAATTCACAGTAATAAGGTGGACAGTCCAGGAGGAGAAAAGAGGCAACTGTCAGTCAATATGATGCTGAGATAGGACTGATTGTGTCTTGAAGCTCTATTCACATGAAAAGGTTCATTGCCAGGTAGAATGTTTAAGTCTTGCTCTGAACTTGGCAGCTACTGTCTTAAAATTTTTCTGGTCTCTGAGGATGCTAAAGAAAGTTATACATGACCTCTGCACCTCCTGAGGTTTTTAAGGTTACTAAGGAAGACAGGGAAGCACACTGGAAATTTCAAGGGTGTGATTAAGTGCTGTGAGGAAGCAACTGTAGCAAGTGGTGGGGGACACAGGGAGGTGGCCTGGATCGGAAGAGTGAAGAAGACAGGGCAGGTGAATAAGTGAACACAGTTCTTTTCTAACATAAAAGCTGCATATTTTATTCTTTTGTGTCAGGCACATCCATTGTTGTTAGAGTCAGAAGATTGGAGCTGTACTGACCCTGCTTCCTGGTCTCCTAATCTTCAGAAAAGGCTTGAAAATCACAGCACTCTTGTGGCATTTTTCCTCTTTCCTCGGAGAGATTATTCCATATCACAAAACCACCTTGACATTCAATTCTCTGCCACTGAAGGTTTGGACTCAAAGTGATACCGCCCAAGTAAAGAAGTGCTTCTGTCAGAGGTGCTCTGAGCCACAGAAAGAGGTGGAAGCTGGACTGATACTCTTGACCCCAGCCAGCTCCTTCACTAAAAATGCAAAAACAACACAAAAATACCCTTGAATGGTATCCTCACACTTTCCTCCTACCCAGCCTTCTGAAATGGGAGATTTGTGTAGGACCAAAAGCCTCCATTCAACCTTGCTGGCGTAGGCGTTTAGCCAATGGGAAGGCTGCTCACCTATTTCTCTCCCTTCAGATCAGGAAAACACAAGAGATGTAACTAACACTATGTTAGTTACTTTTCCATTGCCATGACCAAAAATAACGTAAAAGAGGGAAGATTGGTTTTGGCTCATGGGTTCAGACAGTCAGTCCATGGTTGGTTAACCCATGCACTTGGGCAGAACATCATGGTAAGAGGAACTGTGCTGGAGGAGCTTCTCACACCATGGTGGACAGGACAAAGAGAGAGAGACTTGTTTCAATCAGGTCTTGCGAGGATACAGACATTCAGGGGTTAACACTCTGGCTTACACCAGCGGGTGGAGGGGAAGGAGGCTACAGTCTGCAACAGAAATCTTAAAATTTGGGTAGCTAAAAATGACCTTAGTATAGCAGGGAGGAAGATCAGAAGAAAACAAACTAGGCCTGAGTTCTAATAAAGTAGCGGGGTGGGGAGGGGGGAATAAAACTTAAAGAATTCAAAGGTGAAGAAGGTCACATAGCACTAGGGGTAGAAGGTCACGTAGCAGGAGAGTGATGTAGCCTATAGAATTGCTGTAACCATGTATGGGTTCAACCGTGTTTTTAAATTTTATTGCCTCTCTACCCTGCTTGCAAGGGTACATAAGGTGAGACCCCTTTGTTCTTGGGTCTCAGCCTTTGGACACGAGTCTGCTAGGTCTGTGCTGGAACAATAAAGCATTGCTTCCTGCTAAATTGCCTCAGAGTCCCATATCTCAGCTTGAGATTCCTGCAACATTTCCTGGAGGCTCATTGTGTGGGATTGCAGAG